CCCAGGGAGTGATGTAAGTTTAGGTGGTGAGGTCAGATGCGAGTGCGATGTTTGGGGAAAAGAAACGCATCGGTCAGTTCACACCTCGGTGTGATCCCGTCTGGAGCAAACACTGTACCGTTTCAAGGAGTTTTACAACGCTTGTGATCACATTCACGATAGTGGCTGATCTTTGAGGCGACGGGCCATTCTTTGATTTCAACTTTAAACTCTTGGCGGTTGATCGGTTTTTGTTCCGTAAATAATGATCAGAAATGCCTGCACTTACCCTTTCATTAAGCTACCAAAGTACTCAAAATGTACTTAAAAAGTACTCAAAAGTACTTTTATAAAAAGTATCGGTGTACAGTAAAAGTACTGGTTTAAAAAATGTACCGGAGTACAGTAAAAGTACCGAAAATTGTAACATAAGTACAAGTGCCGGAGTACTTGTACTCCGTTACTACCAGCTCTGGTTGTAATGGAACATTTGTTCACGGCACAGAATTCTACAATTTTTCTGTTATACACAGTGTAGAATTCTGTGGTTTAGGGTGAACGCAAAATTTGGTGAACGCGCACTGGGTGAGAATAGCCACAAGACTCGCCTGCACTATTCTCACTCCGGGTGAGAATAGAGGTGGCCAAGTACAGCAGTGAGCACAGCAACTGACAGAATTGAACGGTTGCCAGCAGACTTCTATAATTCTGTCTTCAAAATTAAATTTTAGTATATAGAGTAGGTTCAGGTCTACCGGCCGCTTAAGCCTCTAAAGGTAAGATTGTACTTTACCGGACAACCGGTCAGAACTACTTTCGCTATGGCGCCCTTGGTGCGGTCCGCTCTCACTCACCTACTCAGTTTTCCACGACCTCACCCTTCGACAGCCCACAATCAACTGACGTCTCTTACGGGGTTTCTCAGTCATCACGACCATGCTACCATGCCCTTTGACCCACGACCCTGACACCTTGAGGCTAATTGGTCAATCTAATCACGTGGTCCACTATTTATTATTAGTGACTAGATCTATTCTTATTTGCTTGCGACTCTTCTAGGCTAGGCCTAATCCTGGTCCGGCAAAGTACTATGGAGGGCGAGAGATGCGCACGAGAGCTCATTTGCATAATTCTCTCTCTCTCTCTCTTCTGGCGCTGTGGCTTCATAAACGGTTAACGATGCCGACAGCACGCAGGAACTCAACACTTGTCCGGGGGTCCTTAAAAAGTGCTGAAAGTGGGTTACTGAAATGTCCCAGCAGACAGGTTCTGGCAAGATAGCTGGCGGGACATCTCAGGAACAATGGTCCATAGTTTCGTCCTCCTCCTTGCTGGCTCGACAGGACGGATCTGGGTTGTCTGCTGGCGCAATTTTGTGGAGATATGATCTCAGCTTGGGCGATTTTCCACCAGTTCTCATTTGGGAGAGAAGCCGGCTATATGTAAACACGACTGTCCGCTCATGTTATTGTTTCGCACTTGTGTGTTTTCTTTTTTATAGTTTCCAGGGGGGCAAGCACCCCTTAACCCCCCCTCCCCACTGTTGGTATGATACACGGTGGTCCACCAAAGTTAAATCCCCTGCCCGCCCTCAACCACCACCTCTCGCTCACCTGGCCTCGCCAGTCGCCGCTGGCTTGCGTTGTGCGCGCGCGAAGTCGCCCGCGGAACTACCTTTTGTCAGTCCGCACGTAGAGAACTCTATGAGTGTGTAGTTAGGCAAGGGATGCATATTATTGCCAAACCAATAGAGCCATATCTCCAAAACCCTACGTCTCCTTGCTCTGATACTCCAGGAATATGAGCACTAAATGTCAATCAGTGACTGACAGAAAAGGGAGTCAAATTTGTTAGAAAAATTTTTTGGCACCACTGAGTCTCAAGAGTCTCACATTTTGGAAGTTATATATATATCCATATATATGATTGTTGATAGTGTCACATCACAAGAAAGTTAGCTTAGTATTGCCATTTTGAATTCAAAAGATTTTTGTCAGAATCCTATATTTAGGTACAAAAGCAGATCTGATAATAGTGATAAGCAAATGATACTGGAAAATGTTGCACTGCCTCATATGTCACTTCTTTTGTTATGCTCAGGTACAGCCATCACTGGAGTCGTTCCTGCAAGCGGGTGACACTCCACAACCTCGACCAGACGAAGTGGCCAAGACTTTCAAGCGACGCAGTGTTAACATTGACCTGCAGAAATGTAAGTGCACATACTTAAGGAAGAATGGCAACATGTCGTCTGATAGCCAAGGGCAATTGTAGGCTCCAGTATGTCTTAAGGCACACTAGGTAGCAATGCCATGGTTCCCGTTTGCGGGTAAATTTTTGGACCAGGTTGGAACGTAAAGTGACTAACTTTCTCAACCTCGGTCTGCTCTGTTTCTCGACCAATGTGAATGAAACTTGGCAACCAATCAGAAAAGAGGGCAAACTAATGATATGTGGACTTTGAAGTTCGTACACATAAATTAACCTATATTTGTGGTTTCGGGAACATATGCACACTAAATTAAAAGTGGGCGAGTCCACGATCTGTGAATGTGGACTCGACCAAGAGGATGCCAACCATATCCTTCAGCACTGCCCACGCTACACCACCCTTCGTACACAGACGTGGCAGAATGTGACTCCCTTTGAGAGAAAGCTCTATGGCAGTCTCTCAGATTTGAAACGCACTGCACAATTTGTGTGCGACATCGGACTGACTGTGTCTAGCTGTGGCATCGAGAACGAGGAAGAAGAAGAAGGTGTTGGGGACACTTTTGTATCGTATGTACCGAAAACAATACAAGGAGCTTGAATTTCAATGTTGAGTAGGTAGATCTGTCTTTCCTCTATAGTGTCCTCAAATTTGAATGTTCTGTGTCTAATAGTTATTGACCCGATCATAAATGCACAACTACCCCCCTATCCAAAGCGGCTTGGCACGGAGTCCGGCCATTTTCCCCACACTCCCTCGACAAATGTATGTGACCTACAAATCCCTGCATGACTATTCCTAGCCCGTTCATTTGTCGTTTGAAATAGGGCAATGGCAGGCGCGCGCATCCGTTTTATTCTCTGTGTTCCCCTTTAACATCACAATATGAGCATTCCAAGACGTGCTTATCTCGCCTCGAAGTGTTTGCGTCTAAACGGGAAAAAAGAATTTTTAATTGTACGGCATACTAGATTGAATTAACTTATATTTTAAGGTTGGCATGGTTTAAAGTCATCAAAGAAAGCTTTGCCATTATTTAGTCAGGCTGCCAACATATTTTCTTAAAGATCCCGTGTTGTGATATGATGCTATAAATAAAATGCTCTCTTCCCGATACCCCTTTTTCGCAAAGTCGTAATATGTACACCAACATTTTAATTATAACAAATTAATTACGAAATGGTTAGTAAATCTGACTGCAGAAATGATTTTTCCACCCCAAAACACATCGGGTAGCCAAGTTTCTTTTTAACATTCCAATTCATTACTGAGATACCGTTTTTTTTCTTACAGAATCTGCTACTGCGTGGTCCACTTTGAGGAGTATTTTCCTATATGTGGGTCATACATATTTTGCAGACCTTTACAACCCCATAACTTTTACATTTATGAACAGATTCTTAAAATTCAAGAAGCATATAATTCTTAAAATTAAAAATTCTTTCTTTCTTTGGTACCAAATAAAAAAGGGCTAAAGCGAAAAATAGATTTTCATTGGCATTGCCACACTATGTACAGCCCAAGTGAAAATTGTTGTTTGTGCTCTCAAGAAATAGAAAAATATCATTGATGAATGATTTCATTGACATATTTCTGAATTCTTGAGATGAAATGGGTTCCACAAACCACAATAAAAAACAGTCCTGTTAGCATGCAGTGATTGCAATTGGCTTTACAAAATTTTGGGCAAGTGCTCCCACTGCCGGAGCGCATAATTCTAGCTCAATACCTACAATTATGAAGTGAGTGTCTGGGTTTTAGAACAATCACCCACAGGACAGAAACCCCTTTCAAGTATACTGGCCTAATGAAATTTTGGGCAGACTCTCCTGCTGCACGAATGTATAATTTTAACATGCATTCATGAAACAAGTGTCTGGGTTTGAGAATATTCAAACAGGGCAGAAACCACTAGGTGGGGTGGTCACTGAAGCACTGTCACAAGCTGGCATGTTGATCAGAGCTGCAGTCTGCACTGTAGCTATACTACAGTGGTGGCAGGAGTCCTTGCTGTCCTGTGCCTGCCTTTCCTTTTAGCAGTCGAACGATTTCTTATAGCACGCTGCTTCAAAAGCAGATATTCCGTCCTCAAACCTCAATGTCGAGGAAAGGGAAATTAGTATCACAGTTCTTAAAATGTAAGCGGTAATTGCAACCCTTTAAATCTTTCAAAAACTTTGATTACTAAACCTGAAACAGGAATGAATGGAAATAATCACACCTCAAAGGCACAACAGTAATTTTATTGCTTCCTTTACTGGAAAGGGCAAAGGAACTAGTTAACACCCTTAGTTTTGTCTGCTGCTTGTTTTTTTGTATTGATTGATATTCCTCTATACAGTTAAGTTCATTGTTAATATCCTTTTAACCTTCTGTTGTTCCCAGCTATCCAGCTCCTCGATGATGCAGTTTCTCCGTCAGTGAACCGACCTGTGAGGACACCAAGAAGTGGCTACCGTCATGTAAATTGTAAGTTCAGTTAGGAAGTCATTTGGTCAAAATTTATTGTTTCGTTGTTGAGTACCCCTAAAGAGTTTCTCTTCTGTGACTAGTGAATGATTTCGTCATACTAGAATCTGGCTGGCGGGTACTCTGATGTGGTTTGCTGCACTTATATGACCTTATTGTGTTGCAAGTGCTTTAAAACTCTTACTAAAACTAAAGAATCTGGCTGGCACTGCCTTATGTTTGAGTCTTTAAAAGAAAATTTTGAATGGAACATAGAGTTTTAGCTAGCTTGAGCTGGATTTAAGAAAAATATGCAGTTTAGATGACGAGGAGCAAGCAGTGCCTTAAATAGCTGTAATTTTTTTTCCAATTTTCTGATTACGGTAAGTATCTAAATAAAAGATAAAAAGTCTTAGAATATAGTAAAGGCTTGTTCTTTCAGAAGGCGAGTGGATGGTTCATGCTAATTTCACTTACAATATGCCTTTCTGATCTCAGGCAACGTGAATATAATATAGGAAATGCCAAAGTATTTTCACCTTGTGACCTTAAAACTATTAAGGGTCTATAAAGAATAACTTTTCCTAATCCGCCCTTTTGTAAAGATTTTTACTGAGGACTTGTTTTCAATTTTCCTTTGGTTCTGTTGGGCTTTTAAAGCAACTTTATGATGATTGTTTTAGTAAGAGTTTTACGGCACTTGCAACAAAATGAAGTCAAATAAGTACTGCAGATTAGAGGTGTTACAAGAGAGTAACAAACACAAAAAAGAATGAATAGAGATAAGGACAATAATAGATGTTTAATAGGAAAGAAGGAGCGGACCACTGCAGAATTCCCGCCAACCACCCAATATGATGATCAAACTCAAGGTAAGTGATATGTACAAAAAGAATAAGAGGTTGGGCAAATTGGTTTAGAGGTGAATGTGACTGTTTGTGGGAAATAGGGAGGGGCTGTTATTGGATGGGATGGTCAATCTTGGTTGTTTGTATGCTGTCCAGGTACTGTTGTCTGTGAAAGAAGTGGCTGCATAACAGATCAGATTGTAATGTGGGTAAGAGGCGATGAAAAGGCTGTCAGACGTGTTCCTTTGTTGCCATTGGAAAAACTCAAAGTTAGAATAATATATATATATTTTTTTTGTATTCAAAATTACCAACTTCTAATTTCTTTCTCTTTTTTGCTCAGATACCCCCAATAGACTGGATTCCAGATTCAATACCAGTGTGAAGGACGTGTTTGTCTTCACTCCTGCAAAGACAAAGGTCAGTACACTGCCACAGAAAATCGACTGCTTGGTGTGAGACTGTAGACTGTTAAGCGTCGCTTTTAAATGTGGTGTATGCAGTGCTTCCACTCTTCCGTATTTTTACGGAAATCCGTTCTTTCTGCCAGTTCCGTACTTGTTCCTCCATCATGATCTACTCCCTCCGTGAAATTGTGCGATAACGTAGGACTGCCGAAATTACGTAGCAAAAGATCCATACTCGCCTTCGTATCGTCTTGTATTAATTTATAGTTACGGATATTTACGGTAATTCTCTCGGCCTTAAGTCAATGTTATAGAAACCTGTCAGATTGCGTTTTTCCTGCAATCGGCCATTATTTCGCTGTGCTCCATGCATTTATTGCGGTTTGGTCGGCAGTACATTTTTACCTGCGGATTGATCAAAATCTGTAGAACTTTTTGTGCCAATTTCCTCCTTTCTATCATTAACTCTTTTCTTCTGTATTTCTTCGGATTGTTGCCGCAGCTGGAAAATCTGCATGTTGATCAAGTAAATTGACTTGTGATCTTAGACAGAAAATTACTGTCAGAAAGGAACTTTTTTCCCAAATTTGTCTAGAAATTTAGATCTAGAAAAATTGTCAATCCGAAGATCCAACGGCACGGGTACGCGATAAGGGCCGCAATGAAAGAAATTTATGCTAAAACTACTAAAATCAAGAATAATTCGAAGTGGTGATCCGAGGTTGTGACATGCGACATTTAGACGTGAAAATTGAGGAAAATTAGGGTATACGCCGGGCAACTCTATTGTGAAGGTGCATATCTATTCATAATTCCCAGGTTTGCCTTCTATCAATGTTGCGATGGCAAATTAATTGAATTATTATAGTAGCAATGGAAGGGGAACCTGCTTTTAAACATTGCCAGCAATGGAAAGATAAAAAAAATATGTAGGTGAAAAAATCAAACAAGACAAAATGTTAGCGAAAAAATAAATGTTATAGGTTGTAGGCAATCTCTTCAAAGAGGCTCCCAAATGCCATTTTCAACCCTCTAAAAGAACTTAATTTCTATTTCTTCGAGGGCTTCGCCCCCTGAACCCCCACCGAGACTCTGTCCCGGGACCCTGCAAATTGTAGACTTTAAATTCCATTTGTTTAGTAAACAAAGACTTTTTACACTATGAACTCCATTCATAATGGTAATATAAATGACAAGCATTGTAACAATGACACAGAGCACAGAACATGTCATCATTGTTATGTACAAGAAAGGATACACTTTGGATATTATCATTGACAACACATCACAGCAGTGAAAGGCTGTACAAATACAGTTATCAAAGCCTCAGTGCCAGAAAAACACATGTGCAAAACAATTTTAAGCTAATATGAGAGGCAAAAGCACAAAATCAGTTGGGCTGACAGTGATGACAAACATGACTTGAACATAACAATGATAACACAATGATTCACAATGTACTGGAAAAGACAAAGTCATACTTCCAGACCCCCGGCAGAATTTTCCTAACTTTTCAGCTTCAGCTGGTGGAAGCACTGTGTATGGCGTAGTCTTATACTGATCAGTTGCACTTTATTTCTTTTCCAAAAGCTTCTGAGATAAGTTTATATCTCAGGGTTGCTTCTTTATAGTTAAAGATAGCCCAGTGTGGTATGTGGTTTGACAGCTCTTTCAACTCTTGATTATGGCAGATACAGGGAGCCCCTTATTTCATGTTCAGAGACTATTGTAATACGACCTTGCCCAGTGAGAAGAAAGCAACTTCAAAGGACTAAAACTTGGAAGCAAATTTCAGAATTTTGATTAGATTTAGATCTAGAGCTCTCTGCGAATAGTGCAAAGTGTGTGTTGGTGCAGGCTGTGTGTGGAATCTGGATCCTTCATACCTCGTAAGCCGTGTTATTAAACTAAAGTGTACGCGTTTCATTGGGTGGATGATAGTAAATTGTAACAATATTGTAGCTTTCTCTTCAAGACTGGCAGATTTTCAGTGTCCCTGCTACTTGCCCTCCCGTAGTTCGTACAACTCTCACGTTGCATGGGCAGAGATGCCAACCTGTATGATTTTACGTATTTTTGTACGATTTTTTGCCGAAAATACACGAATACTTTTCAAGAAAAAATACGCATCCTGGAATGGGAAAAATACGAGATCCAGTTTGGGCGAGTAAACCAAATTCAAGTCCCATCTTTTGTCAAAATAGTTTCAGTATCGCGGAACTGGAATATTTGAAAATCAAGTCCAATAAGGTCAGTAAGTTCATTTTTGCCGGTCGCGATTGTGATATTATATTCGTTTAGCTTTACCTCCTCAGAGGGTACGTTTCACTTTCACGCGAACAGGCGGCTATGGCGGCAGATGGAAGTGTATGTGACACCGAGGCTTGATCCGGAAAATCAAGATCTACTTTCGCTTTCGTTACCTCTGAGAAGTTTGCCAGCGGTAGACTGATAACGCAACTTATTTGTGACATGCAGGTTGTGCAGTGTAAACGCTGTGTTGCGGTGCAAATAAAATTTCTCGAACTCGTCTCTGTGCTGTCACTTGTAGGAAAAAAAGAAAAGAAAATACAAGCGTCGTCCGATTTTTAGATTGTCGGGCTCTCCTTCGTGACCGGTCAATGAACCTGCGCGCATTCGCATCACAAATAAATGCGGCATCGTGTGAGCAAAGACCGTGTTTGGTGGGAGTAACGGCATTGCCAGGTATAGGACTACGGGATGGGATTATTGATTTTAAAAAAATTGCACTCGGGGGGGGGGAGGAGGTGTGAAGGCAACACCAGAGGACAAAAACTTGGAGGCAAATTTCAGAATTTTGATTAGAGCTCTCTGCAAAGCGCGCGTTGGTGCAGGCCATGTGCGGAATTGGGACCCTTCATACTTTGCAAGTCTGTGTAATTGAAATAAAATGTTCACGTGTCAATGGATGGGTGATAGTAAATTATACCTACAGTGTATGTTCTAGCTTTCTGTTTAAGACGGGCAGATTTTCAGTGTCACTGCATCTTGCCCTCCCACAGTTGTTACAACTCTCACAGTGCATGGGTCTACTTGAGCCATTCAAGTTATTGCTGTTCTCTGAGTTTGAGCAATAATTTTTGTCTGTCAGTTCATAATATGAATCATGACACCCAGACTGGTTCTTGATAGTCGAAATTCCTGTTTTAGGCCCTTCCGAACGCTCAAAACAGGATTAATTTTTTATAATAATAATGAGAGGAAAATATTATAACAGACTGAAATACTTAAGTCAAACAAGACCCCAGTACGACACTGAACACTGACATTTTGTTGACTGGATACATGTTTATTGTATGCTTGTGTGCTTCCTTTTTCGAGCTGGTGAGCTAGTAAATTTTTTTAAGGAAATGTTACTGGACACCCTGAACATTTTACTAGTTGGTCGGTCGGTCGTGGAGAATACACATTTTCCCCTGAAAATACACATTTTCATATTTCCCAATACTCATTTCGGTTTTCTGTGGTTGGCATCTCTGCATGGGTCTACTGGAGCCATTCAAGTTATTGCTCCACTTTGAGTTTGAGCAATAATTTTTATCTTTCACGTTCATAATATGAGTCATGACATCCAGACTGGTTCTCAACAGACAGGATATATTTTACATGTGTGTGTGTTTTTATGTACCACCCCCCTGGAAAATGGATGACCACCTGGAAAATTGAGAAGCCACTTTGACCGTCACCCTGTGTGCACACAATAGGTCTAAATCTCCCCCCCCCCCGCACACACACACACACACACCCACACACACACAACCAGGACAGTGCTACTGACTGAAGCATCTTTAGACCATTCCCAAAGGAGGGATATTAAAATGTTCTTATGTACAGTAGAAATGTAAATATGGGCTGATTTATCAATGTCATGCTCATACTGTGCCGGAACAACATAGGGGGAACTGCTGCTTTTTCTTTCCTCTTCTTACTATCGTCATTTTCCTCTACTTCTTTTGTTTGTTTGTCACTCTTATGAACTACTATTTCCGGGGTGCCTTGTGTTGTTGAGGCTAGAGAAGAAAAGTGGGCAGAGTCAGCTTGATTCCCCGTTTGGACTTCTCTGTTGACATCCACCCCTTGTTGCTCATATGACCTTATGCAGTTGCGAGCGCCGTAAAAACCTTACTAAAATGAAAACTAAATCTAGTGGTGAGCAAGCTTGCGATCTTCTGTTAATCCTCCCATTTGTCGACTGGACTTTGTTGTGTTATTTTCGTTTCATATGTTATGCAATAATAATATATGTTATTGATTGCTTAAATGAACTCCCTTTTTCGAGCTGGTGTGCGGCTTGATTTGCAGGGTAGTAAAAAAATTTTCCAGGTAGTAAATTTTTTCAGGAAATATTGCTGAACACTCTGAGTCTCTGTGGATTTGAATCAAGAATACCTGTAATTCATTCCAATATTTGCAGAATCTACTCTGCGCCCTTAGAGAGAGATATCTGGACAAGATTGATACTATGCCTTTCCCGATTAAAAAAAGTGCATGATTATAATTCTGAAGTGACTGATATTGATGATGGGTTCAAATAAGTTACATCCATATGGATTTATTTTTGTATTCCGCCCTTTTTATATATCTTTAAAAACTTTCCAGCAGGATGGTATAGATCAGGGGAAAAGACAGGTGAAATTCTATGTAATTATGTGGAGTATTATTCTGAAGACCAGATGAAAAATGATTGTCTTGTTTACAAATTTTGGTCTTTTGACAACAATTTAAATGTTCAGTCTTGGTAGTGAGTTTGACCAATTTTCTCTTTCACAGGAAGGGGATGAGTTAAGGACTCAAAATATTTCACCTGTGCTACCCATACTGACAACAACACAGAACATGGAATTCACTACAGGGGTAATTATTGTGATGTTTAATTAACGTATGTAAGGTTTGCATTTCTGTATCTTAAATCTTAGTTAAGTGGTTATTTGTTCATGAGTAGTGAATGCTTGTGCAGGTTGTATTTAAAAGCAAATATCACAGAAAATGGAGAGGAAGATGAGGAAGCTCATATTTTCCAGTTAGAGCTGCTGAACTTGTTCCTTGGGGTGTACTGAAAAGATTTTTAGGATACTTCAATAGAACTGAAGGAGGAAAAATGATGGGCAAAAAGTTGGCATACATGCTGCCTAACAGGTTCAGTTATTTTCTGGTGACTGTATGGCACAGTTCTCCTCAGATGAATTTCATACCTGCCAACCCTACAGAAAAAATCGGTAGATCACCGACTTTTGGGTCAAACTACCGATCCACCGATTTTGAGATGAAGCCACCGACTTCAGGATTCAGCAGGGTGACTGCCAGGCCCCGGGAATTACCCGGGAATTTGAGAAAGTTATCAAATACTTGAAAACTAAATCTGATAACGCCCGTAAGTTCATTTTTGCCGGTCGCGATTGTGATTCATTCGGCTCCCTCAAGAGTATGTTTCTTCACGCAGACAGGCGGCTATGGTGGCAAGCGGGTGTGATACCGACGTTTGATCGGGATAATCAAGATATACTTTCACTTTCGTTACCACCGAGAAATTTGCTGGTAGTAGTTTGATAACGCAACATTAATTGTAACAACATGAAGGCTGTGCATGGCAAACGCTGTGTTGCCCTGAAAATAAATCAATATTTGTCCTGTGCCGTCACTTGTGGGGAAAAAAAAAGAAAAGAAAAGAAAGTTATAGTTATACAAGCGTCTTGTCGGGTTCGCCATTGTGACCGGTCAATGAACTTGCGCGTACTATCACATTGTGAGCACGGGCACTTGTAAGGGTCACCAAAGTTCATTCAAAGTCTGAGCGCTGCGTAGTATAGGACTCCGGAATGGGGGAGATTCAAAGAGTTCAAAAGAAACTTTCGGGAGGGGGGGGGGGGGGGGGGGGGTTGAAGGCAACACCAGGGGACAAAAACTGAACTTGGAAGCAAATTTTAGTATTCTAAATTTTTTATTACCACTAGATCTAGAAAACTCTCTGCAAAACGCGTGTTGGTGCAGGCCTTATGTGGACTCGGGATCCGTCATACTCTTTCCTTGTAAACTCTGCAAAGACAAAAGGCTAAAGCTAGGCCTAAGTCATCCAAGGCCCACCTTTTCTTCATCTTTGCTTCTTTTTTTTTGGGGGGGGGGGGGGGGGTTGGTTTCATTCGTGTGTGTGCGTGCAGGTATGAATAGGACAGGAACTGCACCAACTACTAATAGGGTAAATGGCTCTGGTAGTTTTCATATTTTGTCTTTTTTTTTTTTTGGGTTGTAATTTTCTACATTTGTTTGAAGTCGCAAACACAATCATGCATATTTGATGTGGGTCAAAATAAAATATTGATAAGGGTCCCAAATTAAGTATGCGACAAGAGGTAATATAGCCTACTACAGATTTTTAAAGTCAACTACAGATTTTTGGACCAAAATTTGCGTCCAACTACAGATTTTGGCCCAGGCAATGTTGGCAGGTATGGAATTTTTAGACTGATCATCAACACTTTACCACTGATAGCTCTGACTGTTCCTTTAAAGAAAAAAGATTTGCTTGGAAATATAGGGAACTGTGATGGCTAGGTCTCTGCTATAACTGAGAACTGAATGTCCTTATTTGACAGAGTGAAATGTCTTTAACAGACATTTATATTGGACTTGCTAAAATGTCCCCCTGCCCACCCAAGAAGCATAATTGTCAAATTCCAAACAAATACTTATACATGATGTAGAGGAAAAAGGGGACCATGGCGAAATGCTGAAGGGAGACATGAGTATTTTCTCATGGAATGTTTTACTAGAGACATATAAATTTTCTCTGGGTATTGATTTATGTGTGTGTGTTGTGTGATGTTTTAGGTGGAAGAAAGGGGGGGGGGGGGGTCTCTGTGGGAAAATGCCATATATCGGTTTAAATATTTTTTTAGGCTTTATTTGTGTTTAGAAAGAGTCATATTTATATGCCATTCTGTTATGTTAAATCATATTCCCTTCTTTAGTATTTTTCAGTTCTCCTCATTGATATTTTCTTTGTCCTAGGTATTCAGTGACATGATCAAAAAGTTTGAAATGTTTTTATAGTTGTACAATTTTATTTTGCTTATTCAGATTGACATGACAGAAGATTTGACACAAAGCAACCTGACGTTTTTGGCCGATGGAGACCCAGGACTGAAAGGTAAAATTGAGGCTAAAGAGAATTTGAAAATATGATCTCAATTTTAATATAATTAAATTTATATGATGTGTGTCAGCAACTCATTCCTTATCATGCAGTTCTTGTTGCATGGTAAAAGCGGACAGCGTTCCCTATACACAGCACAGTGATTGAAGTGTACTTTGCTCTTGTGTGAAAAGAAATATGCTTATTCCAGACTCATATCAACTTCCAAATTTGTGAGAACCATTGGCATGTATCTTATCTTGATGTTAATTGACAATATTCTCTTAGTGTAGGAGTGTCAAGATAAATCGTACCATGGGCCAAACTCAAATTACTCTTAAGCCTTTGAGCCGAACAGGATAATAATAATAATAATAATAATATATAACATTTATAGAGCGCATTTCCAAAAAAAGTAGCTCAATGCGCTTTACATTGGAATACCCATTTTTCAAAAACCTTTCTTACTACTTCCTTTCTTCTCAAGCAATATACATTAATGCACACACACACATACACACACACACACACACACACACACACACACACACACACACACACACACAGACTATTTTCATCCAGACATAGGAAAAGAACAAATGTAATGAAAGATAACGTTAAAAGCTTATGAAGGATAGGCCTGTAGGAACAGAAAATGTTTAAGATGTCTTTTGAAGCTATCAAGTGTTCTTATTTGTCTTAGTTTCATGGGTAATCTGTTCCACATAAATGGACCAAGATATGAGAAAGATCTCTCTCCATATGATTTGTATGATTTTACAGGTGTCACAAGTAGGGTGTTATCGTTCGATGATCTTAGGTTTCTCCCTGGTTTATATATACTGATAAGTTCTTGTAGATAAAAAGGAGCAGTTTTATTTACACATTTGAAACACATGACGCAGATTTTAAATATTATTCGTTCTTTTACAGGGAGCCAATGCAGTTCTTTTAATAATGGAGTGACATGGTCTCGTTTTTTAGATCTTGTTATCAGTCTAGCGGCATTGTTTTGAATTACTTGTAAACGATTCAAATATTTGTTGTTCAGACCTGCCAGGAGTGAGTTACAATAGTCTAATCTAGATAGGATAAGAGATGTTACCAGTGTTTTTGTGGTCTCTTCGCTTAAGTACTTTCGAACTAGGCCTATCCTTCTCAGCTGAAAATAAAGGGATTTGGACAGAGATCCTACAAACGAGCCCATTGATAAGTGGTGGTCAATATATACACCGAGATTCCTGACAACTTCTTTACTAGATGTCATATGCCCATATAAATCAAAGTTGACACTTTCCAGATCTTTATTTAATCGTGGATTTTTTATAAGAATGATGTCTGTCTTTTCTTCGTTTAGTTTCAATTTGTTTACTGTCATCCACTTTTTGATTTCATAAAAACATTGTTTAGTGATGGAAATCATGTTTGGTAGATCTTGAATGGTGCCATTAACATACATTTGGGAATCATCGGCATAAAAATGATAATTCAATCCATGATTTTGTAAAATGCTTGCTAAGGGCTGTGTATATAGTGTAAAGAGCACTGGTCCAAGAACGGACCCCTGTGGAACTCCATAATCGAGCCTGACCTGCTTTGAAAAGCTATTTTTAATTTGCACTGACTGAACTCTTTCTAGTAAATATGACTTAAACCATGAAAGCACAGTACCCGATAAGCCAAATGAGCGCTCAAGTCTTGTGAGTAGAATAGCATGGTCAATTGTGTCAAAAGCTGCGGACAGATCCAAAAGAGTTAAAAGACAGATGTTTTTGCTATCAATGGAATCCAATAAATCAGACGTTACTTTTAAAAGCGCAGTTTCGGTACTATGATGAGTTTTATAGGCAGATTGGTAAATTTCCTCAAGACCATTTTTTCTCATGTGAGACAAAACTTGACTTAAAACAATCTTCTCTAGAATTTTTGAGACAAATTGCAAATTCGAAACTGGTCGATAGTTTTTAAATTCATTTTTATCAAGCCCGGGTTTTTTCAATAAAGGTTTTACAATAGCTTGTTTGAAAGTATTAGGTACTGTGCCAGTGGCAAGTGACATATTCACTATCTGAGTAATGTGAGGTAGGACAATATCAATACAGGTTTTGAATACATGAGCAGGCATTGGGTCAAGGTCGCATGTTTTTATGGTTGACCCATTAATACAATTTAAAATATCACTATTTGTAACTGGACTAAAAGAATCTAATATTTGTCCAGTAAATTCTGAAAATTCCAAATTTCCATTTGGCTCTAGGTCGAGAGAAGAGCGTATGGTATTAATTTTGTCATTGAAAAAAGTCACAAATAAACTACAAAGTTCGTCATCTGATGTTGCAGAGGGGAGAGGAGATATTGTTTCTTTTCCCAGAATAGCATTGGTAGTCTGAACGAGTTGTTTGGGTGATTTAACATCTTGTAATTCATGTAGATAGTATTTTTTCTTGTTATTTTCGATGATTGAGTTGACTTTGTCTCGGTGGTTAATAAAGATGTCTCTGTGAACTTGAAGTTTTGATTTCCTCCACCTGCGTTCTGCCTGACGTCGATGTTTCTTGGCCTCTTTGATTTCAAGTGAAAACCAAGGAGAAAAGGGTCTCGATGAAATGTTTCTTTTTACCATTGGCGCATGTTGGTCGATTGCCGCTTTGAGAGTGTCATGAAATGTGTCTGCATCTAGGGAGGATAGACTTGTCAGTGTTTTGCTCACGTCGTCCCGAAGTGCCTGTGTGTCTATTGTTCTCGTGTTCCTTGAAAGTATGCTTCTTCTTACATGTTTTGGTTTGGAGATGTTAATGTTAGCTATCAGAAGAGAATGGTCAGAGATAGCCTTATCTAAAACCTGATGTTTAAAAACATGTTGGTCAGCAGTGTTGGTAATTAGCAGGTCCAAAATGTGACCACTACGATGTGTCGGCTCTTTGATTAGCTGCTGTAGATTATGATCATCAAGAATTGAAACAAGGCGTTTGGTGTCTGGCACAGATGGAACATCAAAGTGAAAGTTGAAATCCCCTATGATGTAAAAGGGGGAGGCAGCTTGCTCTAGTTGAAAGAGTAGATCTTGGAATTCTATGAAGAATTCTTTACTTGTAAATTTATTTTTCTTGTTAGGTGGCGGTCGATAGATACATGTCACACGGAAGGTAAGTTGCTCTGATCTGATGAAAGCAGTGGCTGATTCAAATGTGCGATACGATGGACCACCGCAGATGAACTTTACTGGTAAACCTCGCCGATGAATAAAAGCAATTCCGCCACCACGTGATCCGCGTGAAAAAGATTTAAGTTCAAAGCCGGGTGGTAGAAGGTCGGCTATGATAGATTCATCGCCTTCTGTTCGAAGCCAAGTTTCTGTGATGCACAACAAGTCGATGTTCATTTCTTCAATTACGTCTCTTACAATGTTTGTTTTGTTGCAGCACGACTGGGTGTTAATACAGCCAATTCTTAAGTTGGGACAGTTATGTTGAAATACATTACGAGTGTCTATCTGTATTAAGTTTTTCTTGTTCACAGTAGTCGTAGTTCTATTCTTAGAAACAGTGTCACGAGGAATCCCCTGACACACCATAATTTTTCTCTGTTTCCTTGTCCCACCTCTCGTACCCCTCTTGTCACTCTTTACTACCTTTGATTGACAAACACAGCTGTTTCTAACTCCTAACTGGGCCAAACTAGTAAGCACATTTGATGGTACACTCAGACTTGGATTGTTTACGTTTAACAGCTGATCTTTTGTGTACTTAGTTGTTTTCCCTGTCTGATTCAGTGCGCAAGGGTGTAACACAGGGAAAACCCGAACATGGTGGTATGATCTAGAGTTCACTACAAAACTGTAAACATGGCCAAAATAGGCACAAAGTTACTGAAAAGATCCCTACGCTCACTGAGCAGTGGAAAACTTAACTTTTTATTTTTTAAAAATGATATGAGTTAAACCCGACCAAAATTTCAATAAAAATGAATCAAGGCATATCAGTTTTCATTCTGATGCCAATATGTCAGAGATAGATGTTTAGCATCTTTTCTTGGCAGCCAGTTCATTCATGTTTGGGCTAAAGTTATGTGTTATGGAGATTTTCAGGATGGATGACATAAAATTATTTTGCAGTCTGGGTATAATCATTGTTCACCAAGCTGGATGTGGCCCACGGGCCTTGGGTTTGACACATGTGCCTTGTAGGGATCTTTTCAGTAACTTTGTGCCTTGAAATTGAGAGGGAAGTTGAAAGTTACAAAGAGTTTGTGTTTATGCTACAACACCATCAGGCCTATTCATTATTGTTTACTTCTAGTACTACACTAAGCATAGCTGTTCACTAGTTCTAGATTTAGTTGCAAATTATGGGTGCTCATAAAGAAAAAGCAAAGCTCAAAAGTAAGCCATGTCTATGATGGAAAATGACTGTCGATCAAACGATAAAAGTATCGGAGGAGAGAGTGATGGTTCCAGAGAGAGTGCTCTCTTTCACCGTTCAAATTTTTCCACCTCTCTTTCAATCTTTTGCTGCTCTGGTTCAATGTTCAGTTATCCCCTACCTGCTCCCCTTCAATTTTCTTCTGCTCTTGTTCAATGTTTAAATTTTCCCACCTCTCTTTCAATTTGTCGCTGCTCTCATACAAGATAATTTCCCCCTGCCGTCCTTCAATGTTCAATTTCCCCTGTGCTCTGGTTCAGTTTTCTCCTGCGCTCATTCAGTGTTCAGTTTTCCCCTATTCAGTTTTCCCGTGCTCTTGTTTAATTTCCTCCAGCTTCGTCAGGGCTGTATGAGGACTTCATGTCGGCAATGAAACGCTGCCCGGCCCCACACCAAGTGATGGATCTCCTGTCGTGCTATGAAATGTCTTGTTCAGAACTGGTCACCAAGTTGAAGAAACTACAGAAAGGTGTCACCAGGAACCAACCCAAGTAAGGCTTTGAGAATTTTTTCAGATTATTCCGAACAGATTGTGTTTTTGTTTTGTCACTTAATTGGGCAATTGCTCCTTGTGGACGGTTGCCAGATTGTGTCATGGCTGTGTTCTCTACGCAGGGTTCTTGTTCAGATGTGTGGTCTCATGTTTCGGGTTCTCAGGCTGAGAGATGTAATACTCTTTGAACCTTGGACCTTGATGTTTCCTAAATCCCCATCCTTGGACTCCTTAAACACGGTTAGCCCCAGGTGTACCTGCTCTACAGGATGGTGAGAAACATGCCTGGGACTAGTTTATTGGCTATATGGGTTCAATGTGTAAAATTTTAGAATTGCTGTATACCCTATGTGGTCACTTTTAAGCACAAGTGGGCTCTCCCGCCGAAAAATGCTGTTTTGAGAAAATCGAAGGTAAAGTTTTTGGATCCTTATTCAGTCCCTTTAAAAGACAAGGAGAGTTTTCTTTATGACTAAACAAACAAATGAAACCAAACTTCTCCTATAGGTAGGGCAATGCCCACTTTTGGTGTAGGTCAAGATTTTTGGAAACCCCTGAAATCTGGGTTAGCCCGCTTGTCCTTAAAAGCGACCGTATAGAGTAGAGTGTTTTAATTTAATCTTTTTAGCTCTTCCGCATTCCCTCTGTTAAATGGAAGATCATAATTTCATGCGCTTCCAAGATTCCAACCTTTATACTCTGGATAAGAATAAGGAATTTGTTAGTAAATTACAGGGTGATCCGAAAAAAACTTAACAACTTTTTTCGTAAATATTTTCCTCCACACTGAAGCTTTCGTCTTCATATTTGAACACAATATTCCTAATTCAAAAGGAATTTGAGTGATATTCATTTTAGATGATTCCACTAAAGAATTCTGCAATATAATGCGCATTAAAAAAACAACACATTTTTTGCTTTCCCCACCTTTTATTACACTATGCTACAGTACGCATTACCACAAAATGTCGTAACAAATTCTGGACGGATCTGGGGAGACAACGGCACTTGGATCGCCAAGACCAGTGGTTCATACAAGATGAGGCCAATCCATACGTTTCTGTCAGATCAATGACATGGCCAGCTGAGCACTTTGGAGATCATGTGATCAGTCGCAGAAGTGAACACATTTGGGCTCCGCATTCTCCTGACCTGAATCCGATGTGGGGCTATCTGAAGAACAGGATATTTCAAAACCAGTTTGAAAACATTGTGTGACAGACTATCCCAGCACAAAGATTGAAGCGATCCGTGATGAAGTGAGAAACATTCCACGGGAACTGTGTTTGGCCATCATCGAGCATTTCAAACGACGCGTTAAAAGATGTTTTGAGTCCAAAGGAAGACATGCGGAGCATTTGTTTGAGAAATTCCAGAACAAAAATGTTACATTAGTTCTTTAACTCCCTAAGAGAAGTTAAATATCGTTTAATTTCACAAGGTTGGAACAATTAAATGTTAAAGAGAAAAAGAAGACAAAAATCAAATCAATCATCTCATGACTTTCCTTGCGAGAGTGTCTTTTTTAGAAATTGGCGCATTTTGCGTTTATGTGTGTTTTTTTCTTTATGCTTTTTCCGTTCTGAAAATAAGTTTCTTCTGTATGAATTTTATGTCAACCAAATTCCTTTTGAATGAAGTTTATCTGTTCCAAATTTCATCTTTCTAGAACAACATTTGCGCAAGATATTTAGAAAAAAAGTTGTAAAGTTTTTTTTGGATCACCCTGTACATTGTGTTTCAGAAGTAACATTATTAGCAGCATACGGCAAGTTGTTCCAATTTTATTGTAGTCATTCCAGTTTTGTCATAGGTGCTAGTTGCATGCCTCTGTTGTATTCAGTAAAGAAATCCAGGTTTGGGTTACTTTTGACATTCAAGGGCAAAAAATGCTGCACGAAACTGTTCTGAGACAAGAAAAGTTATTTTTTAAAAATACTTTCACAAATACTTTACATTTATGAAGATTCTGTTAAGAGAATGACAACACTTGGAATACTTTACATTTATGAAGATTCATTAAGGGAATGAAAATTGTTTTTTATGTGAGTTAAAACAATGACTGCCCAAGAAGTGTTTAGATTTTAGAAGTTAAAAGTATTTGACTGCAAGACAATATTTTCTGTAAAATGTATTTTCTAGTCAGTTGAAGAGATCAGTTTGGTACAGTGGCTTTGTATCACTTTACAGACTGAAAAGAACCGTGACCACTCTGGGCCTGTTGAGAGGTGAGCTTGAAACTTGGCAGTTGGTGAAATCTTTGTACAAAGACAGACTGGAAACTGAAGCAAAAGATGATGACATGAACTCAAATGATGAAGGACTCTTGACAAAGGTATATTACTAAGATTTTAGGATTTATTTGAATGTTTCTCCTGTTTTTGTCAGAATTTAAAAATCAATCTATCACTAGAAGCAAGATATCATTTTTAATGCTACAAAGTAAAGAATGGGAAAGAAAAATAAGTTATTGTGCTGCTTTGCCTCAGTCAGTTGTGAAGATTAATTGTTCTGAAGAGAAAAAGGAGTTTGTTAGTATCCAAAGAGAAATGACAGTTTTTGCACGAAAGTCTAATTTCGCTGCAATTAAATATAGGAGAAAGGAAAGTCTTTAAATAATGATGTATTACCATCTCATATTTGTTGCAGGTGTGGTCACTCAGTGAGCAGAATATTACAAGTCATCTGTATGAGAAAGATAGACTTGTGCGGCAGAGTCAGGTGACAATTCATGACTGTCGCAGATTATTAACTCCAATTTTGTTACTCGGCCAGTTAAACATAGTTACTCATTTTTCTTTTGACAGCGGCAGTTTGCAGTCTAGGTACAGACATTAATAAAAGTCAATCTGTTGTCTACTGATTCTCAATTGTTGGTTTTGATAACTCCGTCAATTCAGCTCTCTAATTTAAGCCTCTTTTTTGTCTATTAACTGTTGCATTATAGTCACAAGTGCATTATTAGTGGGTAATAACATATGAATACGAAGGAATGTGATATTACTCAATATGAAGACTCTTGAGATTGTGAATGTAATGATTAAAGTTAAAAATTGTGTTTTGTAAAATAACTTAACTTCAAATTTTGTTTTTTACTTTTAGCTTGTCATTGATTGGCTGGAGATGTGTGCTGCAGAGAATTTAGATACTTGGGCTGAAAATGTGAAAATGTTTGTGGACCAGCCAGTTTCCTGGTAAGCGTGTTTGTATGCCCTTTCAGATTATTTTGTTTCAGACAAATTAACAAAGTTCTTGTTGCCACTGGAAAGAATTGTTTGTAAGAATAGTGAATTCTTCTGCCAGTCAGAATTTGTGTAACAAATGCACAGGTGTCCAATTTGATTGGAAGCACTGTTTAAATCTTTTAGATTCTCTAGAGTGGTTTATATTTTATAGGTTATGTGGGTTCTATTTGAATATTGTCACAATCATTACTGTTTCATGTTTCTGCCGAGTGGTCTGCTATATATTTCTATCAAGTGTGTTTGATGAGAACCAATAGGTCCTGACTTTATTCCAAGTATTTAATGATTTGATCTGGGCATTGGTTGGGGTACTTATGAACCCCTTCTGGCATAATTTTACCCGACCCCTATTTGGCCCACAGGGAAAATTCTCTCCATCACCTGCAGAAAATGAAGCAAGGACTGAGAGCAACTACGGAGCGACCTACGATCTCCGAAATGGTGAGTGGGATGGGACATTGGTTTCCACTCTTGACACTTTTCAGCTGTTTATTGTTTTATGTATCGCTGATTGTACCCCCCCCCCCCTAAAAAATAAAGTGTGTACTGATTCAAATTCTCAAGATTATTAAAATTGTTTGTCTGTATCCTTGATTTGGATTTTATAAGATGTATTAAGTTAGACTGAGGTGCGTTTCCTAACAAATAAGGCCTGGTTTTCATTATGCAGTCAGAAGCTAGAGATAGTGTGCAAAAGACAAGAGATTTCATAGAGCTTTTCGTTTTTAAAGTATCATTCTTTTCTTCATTTGAGCTTTTGTTTGATTGTAATGACATTGCAATCGCATCAATCGCATCTTTATGTGTGCTGTTTCTTAATTTAGGGTTTTTAGAACTATTTCATCTTTTTTCTTTTCCTTGTTGTTTAAACTAGTCACCATCAAGCTGGTATACTTGCCCTAATCAAACTTTGGCCAAAGTCAAACTGAGCCCCAGTGACTTGTTGGTGTTGGCTGGTGCTCTGGTGTGATTTGTTCCTTCTTTCCTTTCAAAGATTTATCTCTCCTCCTTCTTTTCTTTGTATGTTGCACTCAAGTAATGTCACTGTCAATGACATGTTTTTGTTGCAAGCATCGTAAAACTCTTACTAAGACTAATGGTAAGAGCCTGTGGCTTTCCTGTGGTGTGGTCAGAATATAGTTTAAATGCTGGAAATCAATTTTCATGCAATTAAAAGGATATCATCATGACTGAATCTAAAAAAAGACTTATATGAAACATTTTTTTCTATGTACTCGAAACTGATTGATAACCTTATCCGTTATCATAGCATATTGACATTAGGTCTGTGGATGGCATTGAAAGGTGTGCCATTAAAAAATGTTGAATGTCTTTTAAAATATCGGACACCATCAATAAGTACTCTTCGAAATTGTTAGGATTGATACCTAATTGATGTAATAGTTGCATATGTGACTAAAAGTAGTAAGAAGTGCTGACACTGGTCCAAGTGAGACGGTGTCAAAGCAAAATTGATCAGCTGTATCAACTGAAGTTAGTGAAAGTGATCTGCAAAGAATTTTTCGGTTTTATCACTTTCCTTAGTTCTAGTCAATGTATTTTAAAAAAATGCTGGAAGTAACCCCCTGGGCGATGCTACTGACTGAAGTGTCTTTCAGCCATTCCCAAAAGGGGGGACATTAACATGTTCTTATACACAGTAGAATTGTAAATGGGCTGATTCATCAATATCATGTTCATAACTGTGCCTGAACTGCAACAGGGAACTGCTGCTTTTTCTTTCCTAATACTTACTATTGTCATTTTTTCCTCTACTTCTTTTGAATGTTTGTCACACTCTTTTGGCCCGCTTTTTCCGGGGTGCCTTGATAGTCGAAGCAAACTTTGTGCTGTTGAAGCTAGAGAGGTGAGCAGAGTAAGCCTGATTCCCTGTAAAGACTTCTCTGTTGACATCCACCCTTTGGTGCTCGTATGACTTTATGCAGTTGCGAGCGCCGTAAAACCTCTACTAAAAAAAAGTGCATGAAGATGCTGCTTTTGACTCAGTGTTTGAAGTTTGATATGGTCAAGTTCTTTTGTAAAACTCAGTTTGGTTTGATTTTTCAGGACCCTGATGCTCCCCACAGACAAAGGAAACCACTGGATGATTTAGATAAGGAGGATGAAAGGTTACTTTTGAAATGTCTCTTCTGGTGTTTGAGAGCTGGGCAGCTTGATAAGGTATACCTGTGTTTTTTCTTTCATCTTGCCTTTTTGGCTTACTGATTTGTCAACTTCAAATTACAGTGTAGCCTTTCTTGACATTAATATCATGATTGTAGAACGTGGGAAGGGTACAACCTTCTGCTTCTTTTCACAATATTGCTCAGAAAGAAATCCTGCTCATGGTGTCGTATGGTCTTGGAAGGAAGGAATTGCATATATATTTATTGTAATCTCTATATATTTTAGATTTTTGTGGCCAAATATTAACGTCCGTTGGGTCGAAAAGTCATTAATTGGGTTTTATAGCTACAACTGACAATTTGCAAATGTTTATTTATTTACATTGTTCCTTTCAGGCTCAAGAACTCTGTCACATTTGTGGCCAACCCTGGCGTGCTGCTTCACTTGAAGGGTGGAGGTTGCTTCATGACCCAAACTATTACAGCTATAGCTCTGCGGGTGATGGAAAACAGAGTTCAGTGGAGGGAAATGCTTACAGGGATGTGTGGAAAAGCGTGTGCTGGCGGATGGCTTCAGAGGTATGTGTCACGAAGTTGGAAACCAGTATGTCAATATCTTGGAGAATTATCTGCCATTGTACACTATCTGATTAACTTCCTTTGTATGAAGTACAGTGAAACCTGCCCTGACGGCCACCACTATAAGACGGTCACCTGTACAAACGGCCACTTTCCATTTCCCCCCTTGCGTTTTTTCGATATAATTTAACTGTGTAAAACAGGCACCTGTCCAACGCGGCTGCGGCCACCATATTTTAACACACAACCCCTATCACACTAAGCAATAACACCTGTCTTCATAGCTGCCACTTTCTCGCTAAATAGCGGAAACTCCGCTTCATCGAGCTTTTCCCGCTACTTTCCTCCTTCCTCCGCTGGACCGCTCTCGGTCGCAAATTGCGATAATTTTTTACACGCGGAAAACACCGAACCGAGAGAGAGACGAAAACGCAGCTTGCGCATGCCCGCCCGTAGCTTTCTACTTCCGTTCTTCTAGGCCTAGCGTTAGTTTCACTTTGTTTATTGTGGAGCAACAAAGTGTCGGTCGATCTGGCATGCTATGAGGTTCTAGGGGAGGACAGGGTGGATTCTCCCTCAGCCCTCTCTCCTCCCCCTCCCCCCCCTCCTTCTTCTTCTTCTTCTTCTTCTTCTTCTTCTTCTTCTTCTTCTTCTTTTTCTTCTTTTTCTTCTTCTTCTTCTTCTTCTTCTTCTTCTTCTTCTTCTTCTTCTTCTTCCACCTCACGCCTCATCCCTCTGATGAAATGTGAGGTGTCTCCTCCCTTTTCTTTCCAACCCCCTCCGTCTGCTCCACCTCCCCCTACCTCTCCAGCAGACATACCCCTACCCCACCACCAACCAATGGAGGAGGACAGCTCCGACACCCCTCCCCAGACTCACCCCGGGAAGGGCGGAGTCCGTCATTCCTCCTATTCCCCCACTAGGCCGCCGTCCAGTCCAGGGCGGCAACCTAGAAAACACTCTGCCTCCCCAGCAAGGAGGAATCAGAGTGTTTCTTCGAAGCCGGGGTCTTTGAGCTCCAAAAGCAAAATAAAGAAGACATAATGGCAGTCCTGCAATGGAATGCCGGCGGAATCCGACCTTCCATTGCAGAATTGCAACACTTACAGGCCAAACTGTGCCCACTTGTGGCCTGCATACAAGAAACAAAATTCGCCCCGGCTTCAACCATAGACTTAAGAGGATTTATTGCGTATCATCTCATTCACCCGGAGAACCGGATTGCTTCCGGTGGAACCGCCATTTACACCGCCAACAACACACTCCACAGACAAATACATCTTAGGACGACCCTCCAGGCTATTGCCGTCCAGGTCACCCTGCAGACCAATCACGATCTGCTCAGTTTATATCCCACCAAATTACCCCCTCAAAATAACCCAACTATATAACTTAAAGGCCCAGCTCCCAAAACCCTTTATTTTGCTAGGTGATTTTAATGCTTACAGCCCCCTTTGGGGAGACAAACCTACAGACCAGAAAGGATAAAATAATAGAAGATCTTTTATTTCAAAATAACATCTGCCTCTTAAAGGATAGGTCTCCAACTTGCAGAAACAGATCCACTTTTGGCACTTCATCCCTTGACTTCACATTTGTTCTCCTGACCTAGTCCCAGATTTTGAGTGATCTGTGCTGGATGACCATACGGACCATTTCCCAATTCTTGTAAAAAATAATAGCCTCCAAATTGACCCGATCCCAGAACACTCAACTTCAAAAGAGCACACTGGGACGGGTTCGCCAACCAATGTTCCCAGATTCTGAATCCTACTTTTGACCTCAACTACAAAAAGTTCCACGAAAAGCTTTTAGAAATATGCCACAAACACATACCAAAAACAAAAACAAAACCGCGGAAGAACAAGATCTGGTTCTCTCAGGACTGTGATGATGCAGTAAAGAAAAAGAGGGCAGCATATTGAAAAGCCGTCGACAACACCACCACAGAAAACAAAATTAATTATTTAAAGGCTCAAGCTGAGGCACGTAGATGCCTCAGGGAGAGCAAAAGGCAATCATTAAAAAAATACATCTCTAAAATCAACAGCCAGACACCACTCAACCAAGTTTTCAAAATCGCTAAAAAAAATTTGAGTAGATGCACAGACACCTTCCGGCTCGTCCAGAGGCCAGATGGAACCACAGCTGAAACACAGGTAGACATTGCAAACACAATAGCTACATCTCTCGCCAAAATCTCGTCCCAAGCAAACTACAACACCACCTTCCAAAACCCCAAAACTAACAGAGAACAACAACACCTAAACTTCCACTCAAACAACACTGAAACCTACAACACAGACTTCACATTAGACGAACTAACATCGTGCATCTCGGATGCTCTGGTGTGGTTTGCTTCATCTTTCCTATCAAACATCTATCGTCCTTATATCCCCTTCTTCTTTTTTATGTTTGTTACTCTCTTGTAAAACCTCTAATCTTCTAACGCTCATATGACCTTATGCAGTTCCGAGCGCTGTAAAACGTCTACTAAAATTTAAAAATCTTTTCCCAGACGGAGTTGGACAAATATGAACGGGCCTTGTACGCTGCCCTCAGTGGGAACCTGGAGTCTCTGCTGCCTGTCTGTGTGTCGTGGATGGATTTCTTGTGGGCCTACTACAAAGTGTGTATCTGTTTCATAACATATGAGGAACCCCTGGTAGTTACTGTCCGTTTCATTGATTTTTTTTCCACTTGTTTTTCTGTTAGATTTGCAAATTAAGCTTCTTGTGATAGAATTTACACAAAGTTTTTTGTAGTGTCAGTGAGCATTGTGCTTTGAATGTTTTAAAAATAATATTTCTTTTTCTATATTTTTGAGTAGTAGTTGCTGTATTTTGTAGAATATTTGCCAGAAAAACTGTCACATTTCATCTGTGAGCAAGGCCGCAGTAATTCTTAAAAAAGGAGGAGCATTCCACTACTGAGCAGCCTCTGGCCGCCTGTCCGCCATAAATGCATATTTGTCAACAGATTTATGTACGTTTTTCCGCAAGTGATTCACTTTTTGGAATAACTGGGGTTGTTTTCAGTTTGGACTTGTGTAAGGAGAGGCAGCTGATGGATGTTTTTTGTTGTTGTTACAAGGTGATGGTGGACATCAAGGTGGAGCAGGAGATCAGACTGCACCGTCATGTGACCCGCACGCTGGACAGTATGCCTCCCGAGTTCTGGGACAAAATGTGAGAAGTAGACAACTTTGGTTTTTGTAGTGGGTTTTTTTTGTGTGTGTGTGATGTTTTCTGTGGAGTGCAATTTGGTCTTTTGTTATCTGTGTTTAGGTTTGTTTCATATATACAAAGGGGTAAGTCAATATAAGTAAATGTGTAATTGTTTCTTTTAAAATTGTTTAACTGGCTAAACAATTTTTTTAAAATTAAGACGATGAGACAAGACACAAAATTTAGCCCTCAGTCGTTTTACAATGTTTACAATTCATGCTGACTCCTGATTTTTACAAGGTTGAGGACCAGCAGGTTAACTTTAGCAATAGTATTAGGACAAAAAAAGGAGTTAACTTATTTCTTCCATTTACATGGTTACAATATAACACTATCGATATGCAAATTCGATGATCCTCAGTCTTTGTTGGTAGGTTTGATAAATTTTCATCTTTGTATTCGCAATAAGAGTTCTTTTAGAAGTCATTGGTTCTCTTATTAAAGTTTTAGACTGAATAATGGTTTTTGTTATTTTTTGGTGAAAGGTTTTTTTCCATTGTGCGTTTAGCTTACATTTAATGAAATGAAACTGATTTGTGTGAAATATATAATTCTTTTTCTTTCACAGGTTAGAACCTCAAGAGATATTTAAGGAGATTGGGGCCAGTGTTGATGAGGTAAGAAATGACTCTTCTGTACTCTATGGATATCTTGTTTTAACCCTTCTTCCACCTGACCAGCTCTGTACACCCTTCTAAGGAGGCAGCAAACGGGGTTTTTAATAATGTATATACAGTGGAACAACCATATTAAATGTGTCTTTTGTAGGGGAGATTTGTACTTTATAGATCTGTATATTTTATTGCAAGGATCACAGAAATCTTTCCCTGACTTAATCTGGGGAAAGCTGAATAGAGTATGACATGTCCGAGAGTGTTGAGTTGTGCTGTTCTCATATGTCGCTGTTTAGACAGGTTGTTTTCAACTGAAGATAGGAAATGAAAATCTCCCCAAAGAAGAACAACCAACGTATCTAGGAGTCAAACTTGACCAAAGTCTAACAATGAAAAGCCAAATGGAGAGCATAAAGAACAAGGTGAAAAGAAGACTCCAACTTTTAAAGAAACTCGCAAGCAGCTCATGGGGATCAGACAAACAAAATCTGAGAGCTCTAATACCTTGGTTATGTCCGATCTTCCCTGGAATACAGCAATAGCCTACTCACTATGTGTAGTGCAACTACTTGCAATACCCTTGACAAGGTCCAAAATAATGCCCTTCGTTTCATAAACGGTGGCATGAGATCTACACCTACTGCCGCATGTGAAATTCTTTCGAATGTTGAACTCCTGGGAATTCGCAGAGATAAAGCAGTTTTGGAGCTCAATGAAAGAACCAAAAGAATGTGCCCCAACCACCCAAACAGGAAATTAGTAGAAACATGGAAACCAAAGAAACGACTTCAACAAAAATCAGTCATGCATCGCATCACAGAACTAATAGAGAGCCACCATCTACCACAAAACAGAAGAGAAACCAAAAGAGTCAACCAAAACATCCCTCCCCACATTTCTATGGAAAAACCAATCATTACAACTTCTCTCAGAGACAATAGCACAAAATCTTCAGACCCAGTGAAGTTGATGATTGCATCACATCAAACAATCGACAGCTATTCAGATGACTGGGTACACGTCTATCCAGACAGCTCAGCATTCAAAGGCACAACCAAAGCCAGATATGGAGTACTAATACAGTACCCAGATGGAAGTTCTAATGAGATCTTTGCAGCCTGTGGAGAGAAATGTAACAACTATGACGCTGAAATGATAGCAATTGAAATAGCACTATACCGTCTCCGCACAGTTTTTGACACTCATCCGAACAAAACACAGAGTATAGTGATCTTCACTGACTCACTATCAGTCTTGCAAGCAATAGAAAATGACCATCATCTAAACGAAGACTTGACACATATACTGTTTGGCTCCCATCACCTGATGACATACTGTGGCGTCAACCTGGTGATGCAGTGGATTCCTGGACACTCAAACATACCTGGAAATGACAGAGCAGACACACTCGCCAAAAGGGGATCTAGACAGGAACAACCCAACATTCCACCTTCATACAGCATTGCAAAACAAATCATTAAAAGCAACAGCAAACAAGATTGGATGAACAGATGGGCCTTGGGAAAGACAGGCAGAGCAGTTTTCAAACATATGACTACGACAAAACGAAATGGCAATATCAACCACCTACAGAGAGAGAAACAGATCACGATCTTCCGCCTACGAACAGAACATATACAACTCAACTTTCACTTGAACAGAATAAAACCAGAACTTCCCCCAATGTGTCCTTTGTGTGACTATGCATATGAGACAGTGGAACAACCTTTTCCACTGTACAGCCCTAAATGACAACAGAGCTACACTTCTCCCTCCAAGACCTAACTCGACAACACACTCTACGGAACATTACACCAACTGCAGCAAACCTGCATTTATCACTACATGGCATTGGACAGAAGGGCGAGAGCCTAGATGTTGCTGGATCGATAACAACAACAACAAAAACAAGACAGGTTGTTGGGTTATGCTTGAGACAATGATATCAATGGTGTTATGTCTTTTTAAAAATATTTCAACACTCAAAACTAAAAATCCCTTCTGATTTTTATGAGAGGAAAAAAGGTCAGCTCACAGTAACTTTTTATATTATTTATATACATGCTAAGTCCTGATTTTTATTGTGTACGCTCAGATTGACCTCAGCAAGGGCTCAAGAACAAATAGAAAAGTTGGCCTATGTCCTCCAGTTACTCTGTTGGACACAAGGCCATCGATATGTTGTTTTATTGTGTTCTTAAGATTACTCTCAACAGATGATTTGTTTTGCTCATGTTTTTTTAAGTGACTTGAAAATGTAGGTGGTGGAAGGGCGGCGTGGGTAGGTCCTACTTCTTTGTTTTCCCTCAGCTGTTCCTTTGAGTTCTGTTGTGCTCCCCCCCCCCCCCCCCCCCCCCAGTACTGAATTAGGATTGCTTTCATGCTGATGTACTTCTCTTTACTCATGCTGGATCCGATTTGAGACTGACTTGTTTGTCTTTCTTTCAGGCTGTAAGGCAGGAGTCAGAGCACTGGTATCACCTGATACAGAAGTTTGTCATCTTGGGAGATGTACCTGGTTTGTTTCAGAAAATATTTTCCTTAGCTGTACATTGTTGTTGTGAAGCTGTATGATTTTAGTGGACTTTTTTTCAGGATGGGGAAGGGGGGGGGGGGGGGTGTCATGACTTTTAATGAATTGGGTGTGGCTGTGAGAAGGCCTGTCTGATGGTGTCAAGATTATCTTTTATTTTGAAAATGAATTCTTTTTGTCAAAAACAGTGTTTTATGATGTACGAAAAGCTGAACAGTTTTCAAAGCATTGGTTTGAGAGAATATCGCTCAAATACTTTTTTAAAGTTTTTTTTTTTTTCACAAAACTTTTTAGTGCACAGATTTTGTTTGTGCCTGAAACTGTTTTCTAGTTTAGAAACCCTCTATGCCTGAGTATTTTTCCAATAAAAATGCAAAAAATGCAGATCTTTTCATTTACTTTTTATGCAGGATCATTAAAAGTTTTTGCAATCATTCTTTCAAAACTTAATTCTCAGTGTGCCCTTCTAAGTGTTATAACTTTTTACTGAATGCTCTACTGGCACTCAAAACAAATCACAAAATAATCAAGAAAGATATGTGTCACGACATGGTGAAGTCAAACACTCGTCAAATTTGTTAGCATATGAAGTTATTGGTATCATCTTAAAGCTTGTTCATTTATTTTGCTTGTGATGAAAAAAAAATATACCCATCTATCTTGAACAGAAGTCGAGATATTTGTGATTAAAGGAGGCTGGGGTCGCCTGGTTTCAGAGGTAATGGCTGCCAAAGTTTGGTGACTTCCAAAGTTTGAGTGTCCTTGGAAACTGCAAATTTACTTTTTTTTGTGCCTTTGATCAATGTTTTTCAGTAAAATCCAAATAATTTTTTTTTTAATGGACATGAAATGCGTTGAGGCAAAAAAGAAAAACAAATTTTGATTGCCTTATAAGCAGAAAAATGCCTGTTTCTTTGTGATTTCACCACGATGCCTCACATATTATACCCTTTGAAATAATTTTTTAAGTTAAGTTGAAAGTTTTCACCTCTTGCAATAGGTGTTCTCAGTGTTTCACACAAGTGTCATTTGTAAACTGTATGGAATTGTCTGATATACTAGCAATTTTGTTGGAAAAATTTGTCTCACAGGGTGTTTGGTTTTGTTTTGTAGTTTTTTTCCCTCTGTACTTGAACAGACGACTGTTCTTTGAAACTAGAAAGCATGGAGGTTTAATATTATACAGGTGTGATCTACTGAAGTAATGATAAGAGGGACTCTGTGGAGTTGAAACGTGTTGTTTGTGTCTTATAAGTTTATTAGTTTCTATTGAAAGTTTTACTGCCCCTTACAATTGCCTAATTTTCTTAGGTATGTAGTTTGCTAATTTTATTTATGATTAGCTAGATTTTCTTCCATAATTAGACGAAGTAGAAGCTCTTCATCAATAGATGAATATGAATGTCACTAAAATAGGGCTGATAGCTCTGCTTGTATAGTAAATACGAGACTTTGGCAGAGCCCGACCCTTCTTTTTGATTTCCCCTTTCGAAGAGGTATCAGGTAGAAAGTAAGGGCTAAATTTATGATGTTACTGCCTCTGATTTATTATGGCCTTTCGTTGCTGTACATGGTTTGCAGAATGTCAGCAGATGGGTAGAAGGTTCCACTTGTAAGTCTTACTACTTTTCTTCCCTCTATTGTCTCTGTCTTGTCTGTCTTGCTTTTTTCCCCCAAGTATTTAAATGGCAGGTTTCCTTTTAATGTGCTTCTTTCCAGACCCGAACCCCAAAATGTAGAATGTCACGTTGATTGTTTTTCCTGTGGTCCCCAGCTTTGATCAACGTCATGCACAGCTGGCTCCAGAACAGGAAGGACTACCTTCCCCAGCATCTGCTACGTCTCATGGTGCACATTGTTCTCTTCCTCAAATCAATAGGACATGTTAGCAAGGTAGGTGAAACAATATTGAAAGGGGCGATACATGCGTACCATCAGAACTTTTAAAGTACTTTTTAAAAAGGTACTTTAAGTACAATCTAAAATATGTACTTAAGTACAGTAAAAGTGCTTTCCTGTAAAATGTACTTGAGTACAAGTACTTTAAAAAAAAGTACTTATGAGTACATTTTAAGTACTTTCTTCTAATATGCTAAAACACTTCAGTGCTAATGCAAAACATCATATTGAATGACATATCCAGTGTATTTGGCAAATTAGGCCATTTGTTACAAAAAATGTAAACAGTATACAAAGCATTTGAAAACGCACTGAACGTAGGTGGAAATGGTCCGTGAAATTGAAAAAACCCCCCAAAAACAGACGCAACTAGTGAGTAAGTGATATTATGAATAGAACTTGTTTGAGCAAGATTTTATGATCAAATGTTAATCAGTCCTAGAGGTCGGTAAGTAGGAAAAGTATCCAATTTGAAAAATGTAGAGACAAAGTTGCTCTAAAGAAAATATAAAATTGATGAAAATGGCCAGCAAAGAAAATGGAAAAGTGCATTGAATTCTTCATTAACAAATCCTCAAGGACTCAAGGTACCTTAAGCCTTAAGCACAAACCACAAAAGTTAAAAAGAAATTTAAGTAGCCTAAAAAATTGTTAGATTGATATACATTTAGAACTCAGTTTCAGTTTCAATTGATTATAGTAGTTGTAAGACAGATTTTGGTCATAGTCCACGGCGAACCAAAATACGTGCAGTTTCCTAGAGCTTAGTGAGTGTAGTGTAACCGAAGATTCTCTACTACAGTAGTCTCCGCCTAAGATCCCAGTGCTCGGAAGCAAGGGAAATACTGGATCTTAGCCAACGAAGCCAAGGAAGAATCTACAGTGACCCATGAACTGACGTGACCCCTGGGTAGGTTTATGACATATGACGAGCAAAGAGTGGTCAACTTTGATGATCAATCACAGTGGTATGGTGGCATGAGGCAGGCCTTAATATTATACACTCTTTAGCCTATCTTGAATCTTGAGATCTTTATCTACGTTAATCCAGTTGCCTCTCCCCTTTACCTGTCCAAAACTTTAGCCTTCCATCTCTGATTGAGTCCCCCCACCTTTGTCGTTACGCACCATTACATTGTGACCAGACCATTTAAAATTCAGGCTGTCTCACAAATTCGGGAATAGAGAAAAACTGCCTTCAATGGTCAGGGAAAAGTTCACAGTTCGGTGGGATCCTGCCTGGAGCGAACTTGTAGGCCCTACCCACCCAGCGATTGGTGTAAGTTTAGGTGGCGAGCTCAGATGCGAGTGCGATGTTTGGGGAAAGGAAACACCTCAGTGTAATCCTGTCTGGGGCAAACATTGTCCGTTTCATCGGGTTTTACAACGCTTGTGTGATCACATTCACGAGAGTGGCTGATCTTTGACGTGACGGGCAGTTCTTTGATCTCAACTTTTGACTCTTGGTTGATCGGCTGTGCCCGTCCGGGTGTTTGTTCCCCAAATTATGATCAGAAATGCCGGCACTTACTCTTTCATTAAGCTTCAAAAGTACTCAAAATGTACTTTAAAAATACTCAAAAGTACTTTTATAAAAAGTATCGGAGTAGAGTAAAAGTGCTGGTTCTAAAAAAATGTACTGGAGTACAGTAAAAGTACCGAAAATTGTAGCGTAAGTAGAAGTACCGGAGTACTTGTACTCCGTTACAACCAGCTCTGAGTACCATTATGTTTGTCTCGTAGTTATAATAAACTGTTTCAAGTACAATCTTCATGTCATGGAAAGAAGAAGGGTTTATCGTGCATTCCAGCACAGTAATATTAAGATTTGCACATTTTTGGACGCATGAATGAGAAGGGATTATCATGCATTCTAGTGCAGTAACTATTAAGATTTGCATATTGTTCTCTAAAAAATGGTCTTCAATGTTGGAGAGCTTGTAGGACATGACAAAAGACTTTGTCCCGAAAAAGATATTTTTAACTAAGTAATGTTCATGTGTTTCTTAAAGTACATCAGTTGTCCTAGTCTCTCCTTCGTCTTTTCCTTGTATGTTAACTCTCTTGTAACACCTCACTAATCTTCACCACCATTTATACAACCTATTTGTGTAGCATGAGCAGTAATAAAACTTCTTGTAAAAAACAAAAAACAAACCCAAAACAAAACACCATCACCACCACCGCCACTTTGTTTTGCAGGAAGACTTGTGTGAGGCCATTATCGAGGCTTATGTCGCCGATCTGATCAAGAGCAAGCGTAAGAGTCTAGTGGCTCACTATGTGGCCACCCTGCGGGCACCGGCACAAGTGCAGTGGTATGCCAGTTTCCTGGAAGGTCAGTGCTTGATAGAACATGTCATCTCAAGCTTGTGGAAATAACATGCTTCTGTGGTTAACAATTTTCACTAACTGAGTTGCTTTGGAAACTGACTATTTACAAAGCTTTAAAGTCTTAAGCCAATAGAAATAAAGTGCTTATATGACGAGAGAAGATTTGCACTGTGTAAAATTCTTAAGAATACTCTGTTTTCCTTTTTTTCTCTGCACAAAGTGTCCGTGTCCTTATCATTGCTCAAACAAAAATTGTTATCTTAGAAATCAAATTCTTATGGGAACTCTTCTCAGGTGTTGAAGAAACAGAGGAAAGACAGCAGTGCCTGGTGTGGGCGGAGGAAGAGGGCCTGGATGTGGCAGCCATCACCAAAGCTGTGGTGGAGAGGGTCCGGGATAGGGAAACCACTGCTCTGCCTCCTGAGAACAGCTTGGCACCTGACGTGACTGTCACTGCTGTGAGTTTTGTTTCTTTCTCTTGTACTTTTGTTGGTTTACCTGTTTTAAGGTTTTAAGTGTCTGCATGATATGTGTGTGTGTGTCTCCGAAGGGAGGCTCCTGAAATTTTATGATACAGTAGTCTCTGCCTAAGATTCTGATGCTCGGGAGCAGGGAAAATGCAGGATCTTGGGCAAACGAGATCTTACCGGACGCACAGAGGGAAGAATACACGGCGACTCATGTTCAGGCCCACAACCAGTAAAAATGGTCTCCCTTTACTCTAAAATGACATGGTTCCTGGGTGGGTTTATGAAAGTGGCGAGCATAGAGTGGTCAGCCTTGGTGACCAATCACAGTGGCATTTTCACTTATTATCCTATCGTGAGTGTCAAGATCTATGCTAATCCAATTGCTTCTCCCCTTTACCTGTCCAAAATTCGTAGCTTTCCATCTCTGACCGAGTTCCCCCGCCTTTATCGTTACGCACCATTGTGTTGTGACCACTCTCAGTTAAAATTAAGTCTGTCTCGCAAATTCGGGAGTAGAGACAACTATTGCAATGGTCAAGAAAGAGTTCACAGGTCGATGTGATCCCGCCAGGATTGAACTTGTAGGCCCTACCCTCCCAGCAACTGATGTAAAGTTAGTTGGAGAGTTCAGATGCAAGAGCAATGTTTGAGGAAAACAAACGTGTCGGCAAGTTCACACCTCTGTGTTATCCCGTGTGGGGCAAACATTATACCGTTTCATTGAGATGTACAACGAACATATGATCATATTCATGAGAGTTCATGATCTGTGACGCAAAGGGCCGGTCAGTGATGGCAAATTTTCACTGCTTGGTTGATCTGCTGTGCCCGCCAAGTTTTTGCTCAGTAAATTATGAAATGTTGGAACTTGGCGGAATGTAGACCTTCAGAGCTGGATCTTAGGGATGACTTTTGTGTAGTAAAATCTGTTCTCTGAAAACAGCGGGATCTTAAGTGAACTGGGATAGTAAGAGGTGAAATCTTTGGCGGAGACTAGTGTAGTTCTTTTTGCCAACTCAGATATTCCAGCTTTTTATCACCTTTTTATTTGAGTCCCTCACAAGCATTTTGTGCTGAGCAGCTACCTTTCTTGTACAGTGTGTCAGAAGAATGCAGTAAACCTAAAATGTGATAATTCATTCCATGCTTTATTGTTCTGGGTTTTAAAAAGAAAATTTGTCTGAATTTAAAGATTGTCATGCTCATTGGAATTGCTGCACAATAAAAAAAAAAAGAAAAAAGAATTTTATGAAGTGCAGATTTTTTCCAAAAGTCCGCCTTTAGTTAGAGTATGTAACTTTATTTTCTCTGAAAGTCTTAATCCAAATGTGGCCTGAGCTGTAACTTTATTTGGTCTGAAAATCCAAACCCGGGTCGATGTTGTATCACAGGTGTGAGTGTATGTGTTTCAGGAGGATCGTGCTAAGATTGATGCCATTGATTGGCTGGTCTTTGATGAATCGCATCGATCTGAAGCCATGAAGCAAGCTAACGCCATCATGCGTGCATTTATTGGTAAGGCCCTTCTTTGATAGTGTGTACTCAAGTCTGTATGGGTGGTTGGCAGATGCTCTAATATCTGGAGTCCTTATCTCTCATCCTTTTTTTGTTTTTGTCACTCTCTTGTAACACCTTTTATCTTCAGCACTTATATGACCGAATTGTGATGAAAGTGCCATATAACATTTTCTAAAAGAAACAGGCTGTGTAAAAGTCAAATGCATATGTTGCAGTCATTTTTACACTGGATTACTACTGACTACTGTATAATAATAATAATACTTGCGAAACCGCGCGATTTTAAAATCTACCTTTTTTTTTTTTCATTTCTCCCTTAAAATTTTGGCTCATCTCCCTGCAATCTATCCTGGTGGGTTAACATCTCTGTATATGCTGAAGGAAATCTGTCTGTTAAAACTCTTCTTAGAAGTGCATGTAATTTAGTATTATTTATTTATTCAGTTTGATTCAGTTAGTAGCACAGATTATGCATGGTTGTCTCTCTCTTGATTCAGATCTAAGAATTTTTGTTTATAAGCCTGCAGTGAGGTTGCGATACCAGGGTTGCCCACCTTTACAAATTTTGTTGAATCACCTCTTTTCTCCTTGACATTGGCTGGCTGGCTGTCTTGAACAGTGTTGACTGTAGTCATAAAGAGCTTGAAACAGCATACCAGTGGTTGAAACGTATTGTACCAGTTATGCAGGAAATATCTCTGGAAGTAGGGATTATGCCTGTGAGTGTGAGTCGCTCTCTTTCTCTCTCCCTCTCCCTCTCTCCCTCCTCCCCACTTCAGGTTACATTAATTGTGTTTGTACTTTTTTTCTTTCAGGCGTATTTGCCTGTGGCTCGTACACTTACTTTCATCTTGCAGAAATATTTTGAGTGATTTTTTAATATCTTTTTTTCTTTCAAACAGTTTACTGATGTTGTTTTATGATTTTTTTCAGGGTTTTTTTCAAACGACATTACTTATGCTTCTTTTCAAACTTTTACTCTTGCCGTTTTTCAAACTGTTGGGCCGGTGTTGTTTTTCCCCCCAGCTGTGAAGAAGCACCTTGCTGCCCGCCAAGCTTTTGAAAAACTTCCCACAGATTCTATTGATGTAATCTATCGCCAGTGGCACCTCCAGGTATGCTCTCAGTACTGATGTAGAATGTAAAAGACGACCTCTTTCTTACTGATTTCTTTGAACGGTGGAAATTGTGAAAGACAGCCATCCATTGCCGAGGAAAAAAATGGCCATCTTAGACAGGTGGCTGTCTTACGCAGTGCCATTATAATGGGGGAAAAAAATGCAAGTGGTGAAATAGACAGTGCCCATTTGTACAAGCAATTTTCTTATTCAGTTGGCCATTAGAACAGGTTCAACCATACGTGAATGATTATCAGTGAGTTTTCATCAAAGAGGACAGACTTTCTATAGTTTTCTTTTTAGTGTGTCCTTATTGAATTGTTTTGTTGTCTCATAATTTTTATCATATAATCTTCGTAGAGTTTTCCATTTGAAGTTTTTAAAGTGCATTTTCGTGTATTTATCAGCTTTTTGAAATATTCAGTCAATTTTTATATTATGCCCTATAGGTTTTCATGAAAAAGGTAGCTATATTATATTAATTAAAAATTTTGTGTATAGTAAAATATTGAATGTGGCGGGGAAGAGCGGCTTTGATATCATTGTTGCTTCTGGAAGAGCGTTTTTGACATCATCAACTAGTATGTTTTTATATTTCTTTGTTACCGGTAAACTTGGTGTAATCGCTAACAGATAGACAAGTTGCATTACATTTCGTCTCAATTTTTCAGCAACAGGAGGGTGTTGATATTTTTCGGATTTTTTGGACAAATTCCTAGGATAAGATTTCTATTCAGAAATACACATATGCTGCTCCCTTTTTCGATAGTTTGACAAAAATCAACCACTCATACACAGAGGCAAAAGCTGACTTGTTTAACAGAGTAATGAGAGTAAGACAAACCACTGAATATAGAGGAGATCACACGCAAAAAGTTTTCCTGCAATATGCACGTGAATAACATGTAACGAGATTTTGTTCCAAAATGTTCCCAGCACAGCTGTAAACCAGAAAATGCTGAGGGGAAAATGTTCAGTGTATCGAGTCCCAAGCCTGAAAACACAGACGGAAAAATGTAGAGTCTGTTTTAATATGTAAGCTGAAAAAAATTACAGAAACATGGAGTGTCGATACCATGATCAGCACCATCAAGATGAGGTATATGCTTACTGCTTACCACTATCACTGTTCCTAGGATGGATTTAAAAAAAAAAAAAAAATTTACAGTGGCTCTTCCCCGGTCTTCTGTGAGTGATTTGTCAAGCTTTCTCTGGATTCTTCAGTCAGCCATGCACCAGCTGGTTCAGCTCCTTGTTTTTAGTACAAGATTGGACTTTGATCCCGTCGGGTACCTATGCACTATGGTAATACTGAATTATTGCTCAGAATTTATGGGTTTTTTGTTTCCAGACTGGGACAGGTGAGCTTCCTGTTGAAGACAGCAATGCCATCAGAGAATACATGTGCATGAAGGCGTATCTAGTGAGTGCCAGTTTTATTCTATTTTTTTTTTTATAATAAAAAAATTTTTTTGGTGTGTTTTTGTTCATTTCTTTTTTCGTTGTAATTGATTCACCGCAGGCATACTGTATGACAATACAAACAGGCAGTGGAAAGTTTAAAAAGAATTTCAGTTCTCTGAATATCTCTAGGTTTTAGTTTATTAAAGTCTTGGTGACAGTATTTGTATTCTATTTTTCCCCTCTGAGGACAGGGGTGAAAGGGTTAGACAGAACTCAGTTCTTTTTTCTTTTGTTTCTGTCATAACACGTGTAAAAGGGTTGTGTGAAACTACCTTTATTTCTTCCACTCACAGGATGCGGTGGAAAGCTTCAACGACTGGTTCAGCTTGTACCATCAGGGCCGGCCGGCCAAGCCCAGCGTTGGCAGTGAGGGTGTGGCTAGCTTCACGGACCGTGTGGCTCTTGAGCACAAGATGAAACAGTACCAGATGGAGATGGAGCGTTGGAGGCATAGTCTCCGCCAGCAGACCAGGGTGGGTATTTGTCACTGCTGTCGTTGCGGTTCACCAACTGCTGATCTCTGAGATAATATAAGATAATGTCACAGACATTGCGGTTCACCAGCTGGTTTCTGAGATAAGAGAATGTATCACAGTTGTTGCCGTTTGCCAGCTTGTCTTTGAGGTAAGATAAGATGATGTCAAAGACATTGCGGGTCACTAGCTGGTCTCTGAGATTAGAAGAGATAAAATCACAGTTGTTGCGGTTTGCCAGCTGGTCTCTGGGATAAGATAAGATGATGTCATATGGGTTGGCTGGTAGTGTCTAAGGTAAGATAAGGTCACATTGTAGTTTTGCTGCTGCTGAGATATAAAATGATACAGTAAAGTAATATATAGTTATTCGCTACTTAAGAAAATGTCTCAGTTTTAGGATGCTGATTTCCGAAATAGGAAAAGATAATGTCTCAGTTGTTGGATGGATGCAGATCTCCAAGGTAAGTTAAGATAATATTGCAGTTGTTAGCTGCTAATGTCTAAGATAAGATGTTGTAGTTGTTGGATGCTGCTCTTTGAGATAAGGTAATGTGGCACTTGCAGGAAGGTGACATCTAGAGGCCGAGGTAAGAATAATGTCACAGTAGTTGGCTGCTCTTCTTTGAGATAACTTAAGATGAAGTCATTTTTGTTGGCTGTCTGAGATAAGATTATATATTGTCAGAATTGTTTGTCTTAAATATCCTCCAAGATTTAAATCAGCTGAGCGTTGACCATACAACAGAAAGTCGGCATGAGGCTAATATTTCAAGCCTAGGTAGCCAGTTGAGTGCTATGTTGGATATTTGAGGGACTGCACTGCCTTTTTGTTCCTGGGGGAGGGGGGGGGCGCTGTGTATCTAGTATGCTACCTGTCATCAATATTAATGTCTTTCTCGCCCTAGATCAGGGTAAAGGCCAAAAGGCTATGAACACTTTCCACATTTCCCTATTCCAGGCTAGTTTCTTGATATTATTCCAAGTTGTCCCACTTTTTATTCAAAGAGACTTGTTCAATGGAGGAGGTCAGTTGAGTCTTTTCAGCTTTGTCCACTGTCCTTCCTTGGTCCTACTGGTGCTAAAGCTTGTCCAAGATAAAAGAATTATACTTGCTTGTTTGTGTTTCTTTTGCTTTCTTAGTTTTTACAGGGTTGGGTAGATTGGTGGTGGCGGGTGCTCTGGTGTGATTTGCTCCTTCTTTCCTTTCAAACATCTATCGTCCTTATCTCCCCTTCTTCTTTTTTATGTTTGTTTCTCTCTTGTAACACCTCTAATCTTCTGGCGCTCATATGACCTTATGCAGTTGCAAGCGCTGTAAAACCTCTACTAAAACTAAAAAAAGGTTGGGTAGTTGACCCTCCGCCAACTGGCTCTTTTTGGGAGACCAGGCTTTAGTCCCCTCTTATGACACAAGTGTCAAGGCAGGTGTAATTCTTTGCTCCTTTATAGTTAAACTATGAGCCCTCCTCTATACAGCAGCAGGTGAGAGAGTGACACTTGGAAGCTGTTCTGTAATATGAACGTTCCGGGTTTTTTTGGTTTGTTTTCAGAATATTCTTACAATGTGCAAACTATGATTTATTTTTCTTTCTTACTTTTATTAGGTACCACAAGCGAAAATTTTTTGGAACAATATTGACGTTTAAACCTCAGGGGTTCAAATCTACTCTATGAAATAACATTAAAAAAAGAATTATCAAAATCCATCAATAAACAATCGAGATATGGTATTTCAAAGTTTTATTTTTAAACGAAACCTTTTCAACTGCGACTTTCACCCATGTTTGAGGTGTTCTAAAATACAAAGTGCATGATCAAATCAATGAAAACTTTGTTTTTCCCAGAGCTGTCAACACAAATATTGATATCTTTAAATCAAAGCATGTTAGAATGACTGGTTTCCAAGATATAGGCCTTAAAAAATTGAAAAAAAAAGCCAAAATTTGTCATTAAGAGCTCAGAACCCTATTTTAACCTCTTCCAAATTAGTCAAAACTGCCTCCTCATTAGTGAAAATCACACAATCATTACAAATACATGCGTAGACTTAGCTGAATTTTTTTCAGACCACTCTGACCATAAGTAACTTTTCTGGACTCCTCTGAAGTGGGCTTCGGTGCAAAAAACGCCTCTTGGAAAAAAATTAGGGGAACTCTGGTACATCCTCGGGCAAAAAGCATCACAACAAGTGAACAAATTAAGCTACAGGGCTAAATCATACATCAAATTAAAGCTCAATGCAAGCTCTACGGGGTCAAATCAAAATTGTTTACTAAAACCTCTCATAACACTCCATAATAGGGCCCTAATGCCCAAAAACCTGCCATTATTGAGTGAAAATTATAACGTCTGCCGACTGGAAAAAAATTCATATAAAATCAACACATTGTGCTACAAGGTTGCATTATATATCAAATTAAAGCTCTTTTCAGGCTCTGTACAGTGGATTAGTTTATAGAAAGAAAAAAACCTTCCAATCATTTCAGATATGGACATTAATGTGAAAAAAGTCATCAATATTGGTTCAGAAAATTAAGATTTCTGCTCAGGGGGTTTAAAAATTGGAATTAAATCAACATACTGATCTACCGTGGTTCATCTTGTATAATATAGATCTAGTTCTAGATTTATTTATCATTTTAGCTGAGAAAGAAACCAGTGGCTGGGGAAATACAATGTATCATCGTGTGTCCAGTAAGTGGATGGAAGAAGGGGGGGGGGGGGGAGGGGGGGGGGGGCATTTCTCCAATTAGCCTATCAGGTGACATCTAGGTCTAACTAAGTCTAAGAATACGTAAAAAGGCTGGTTGATTCAATAATTGAATATCCACCAATCAAGAACGTAGATCTAGCCTTTTTTGTTACCGAATTAAATGCCAAACAACATCTACGAACATTTCCATCGGTAACACTGACACCCGGTAACCCCCTTCCGAGTGTTTAGTAGTGTGTGATGACATGTTACTATAAACAGAACTCCCAGTTCAACTCTTCACGGCTTTAATTTTTCACTTTGTCGACCTGAGATGCTTAGATTTCGATGCATTTAGAATAAATAAGATGTTCTTAGTTGAAAAGACAGCAAAAATACCACCACGAAGCGATACATTTGTATAGATCGCAATTAATTCACTATGAGGTGGGGAAAATGTAGGTCGGCGTGATTCCCACCAAACAATAACAATCCAACCACACGGCAAGTGGTGGCCGATTAATCTTATTTTTCAAAACACAATATTCATAAGTATCCTAAAAGAAAATTATGATAATACTTACATAAATTGACGTCATAAACAGATCTATCGAATGTTTCTTTTACTGAACCATCATTATAATCGTCTGCTGGTTGGGTCAAGTCAGAGGGGGTGGAAATGGGCAATGGAACAGCCGCAATGGCAGAATGACGATCTCCCGAAAGTGGTTGCTACCCCACTTCAGAAAAAGTAATATTTCTACTTCGTGGAACGTAGTTGGCTTTTCTAAACACATAAACTTGATGGTAGAGATGTCTGGGAATATGATCCTGGCACGGAGAGCCCGATTTGTGTCGAATTTCATATTTTAAAATGCTTTCTTCGTCTTTACATCGTACCACTCAAGCTTTCCGCTCGGAATAAAAACATAAACACATTCCCCGGAAATTCTCCTGAAATCCCAGATTTTTATGTTTCAAACCGCAAGAAAATTCGATGATTCAAGACTGAGAAATCGAAATTTAAAACAAGTACCCCCCCAAATCTAAGCGCGCAAAATTGCAAGACGGCCGAGTTTTCCCGTGTTAAACTTTAGCCAATTAAAAACTAAATATGCAATCATAAGTATCAGTTTCTCTTTCACCATGGAGAAGGAAAGACACAGAAAACTGGTATAATTTTTATTAGTGTTTACAAAAATTAAAACCAGCTAATAGTTGGATGAAGTTGTCCAAATCTGGCTCCAGCCGTAGCTGTCTGCCTTGAAAACGGCTCGCCTGCGGTACCTACTTTTATACTGATTAGTAGCGTGGAAAACTATCAAGTTAACAGCAACAACCTTCCTTGAACCTCATTCTGTGCAGTCAAAGAATCCATCTAATATATTGAAAAGGTTTCCCTTTTCCATTTTCAAAAGGTTGGCAGCTCTGCTTGTGTCATTAAGGATTAAAAATAGGTTACCCAAGGTCTGGCATGTGATCTGAATGAGTTTGCCTCCCCTTTTCTGTTCTTTTCATCAGCACTCCTCATAACACAAAATCTGTTCAACAAATAAAGATTCTCTGGTCCCATGAAGTTTGTGTTATACAGTAGTTTTACTGTATATGATCATTCTATGGATAAGAGGAGGTTGCTTGTTTTTTTTCTCCCAACAACTGTTGTGTGGGTCATGATTTAAATGTGTACCTTTTTATCTCTTGGTCTCAGGTGACCAAAGACAGGATCTACAATGTGCTGTTGTTTGCTGATGGAGGTTGGCTGGTTGATGCAGAAGAGGTGAGGAATTGCACAAGCTCATGTGAGCAGTAATATGCTTTATTTCTGCATGGAAAGAAACAACCTGCCACTCTTTTATTCCTTCTACCTGTGCGTTATAAAGGTGCTCTGGTAAATGCATCCAGCTATCATTTCGGAGTGTTTAGTATTTTATAGAGTAATCACTTACAAAAACAAATTTTGTAATAGTTGAATGACATTTCCAGTTGTTTCTCATGTATTGAGTCTTCATTCTTATTCTTCCCCTAGCATCTCTCAAAACAGAATTACCCCCCCCCCCCCCCCCCCCGCCCCTCTTTTAGGCCATTCCCAAAGGGGGGACATTAACGTATATGCTCAGTACAATTGTAAATGGGCTGATTCATCAGTGTCATGTTCATGTCTGTTCCTGAACTGCATGCAAGGAACTGCTGCTTTTTCTTTCCTAATCCTTACTATTGTCATTTTTTCCTCTACTTCTTTTGTATGTTTGTCACACTCTTGTGACCCCCTATTTCCGAGATGCCTTGAAAGTCGAAGCAGACTTTGTGCTGTTGAAGCTAGAGAGGTGAGCAGAGTAAGCCTGATTCCTTGTATGGACTTCTCTGTTGACATCCACCCCTTGGTGCTCATATGACCTTATGCAGTTGCGAGTGCTGTAAAACCTCTACTAAATTTAAAAAAAAAAAATCATCACTACAGTGCCTCACATATACCTTTGTTCTATGTTCTGCTTACCTTTGTTCTTTTCTATTTTCCTTTGTTCTCTGTTCTTTTTTCCTTTCAAACATCTATCATCTTTATCTCCCCTCCTTCTTTTTAGTGTTTGTTACTCTCTTGTAACACCTCTAATCTTCGGCCTTATGTGATGCACGTGCCGTAAAACACTTCCTAAAACTAAAACTTGTTCTCTGTTCTGCTTACCGTTATTTTGTTTTTCTAAGAGTTGGGGCGAGCGGACGGACGGGTTCGTTACTCGCGGACTCAGTCAGAGCGAACGGGTAACGGACAGCCATGAGAGCGAACTGCGAACCTCAAGACAGTTCGTTTTTTGGGTCTGCTCCACAATTTGACTCTCTCGCGAGCGGACTGCGGACCTCAAGCCTCAAGTCAGTTGGTTTTTTGGGTCCGCTCCAAAATTTTATTCACTGGGCGGGCGGGCGACGAGACGAACTCTAGCAGACGAGAGGCTCGACGCGAGATTAGACCCATCGTCTATTGTTTGTTAATTAGGCCTGATGTTTCAAACCACTAGTGGTGCCACAGGGAGTGAGAGAGGCTGGTTGCGTAGTACTATGTGTGTAACCTTTCACCTCGTGCGTGGGGCACACTGTGTACGTTCCAATTATCGCAAAGGCCGGGGGGGGGGAATTTCCGCCATGAACGCCTAGCTACAATGTGAGGCAGGAGGGTGATTTTTTTTCGGGGCGGGTGGTTGTAAGTTGTAGGCAATGGAAGGAGTCGTTCCCGTCGAATGCACGGAGTCTCTCGGTCTGCCCGTCCGCTCGCTCGCTAAATGAACTGTTGTCTCTGCCCAGTGTGTGGCGAGTAGCGAACTACTCCTCACAAACGGACGGTTCGTTACCCGTCCGCTCGTTTGCTGGTAGTGCCAACGAGTAGTTTGTTACTCGCGGACGCTAATTTTGCGAGCCCTATTATTTCTGTTTATCCTTATTCTATGCACATTTGTTCTATGTTCTGTGTACATTTATTGTTCAGGAGACTGACATGGACGAAGTCCGCCAGCGCCAGATGAGCCAGCTGCGGAAGCTGCACTTGCCTGCTCTCTGCCTGAACCTGCACAATGTACTTCACTCTAGCGAGATGTATGCCGATGCTGTGCAGATTGCAGATGTCATTGCCTCAGAGCATCATCAGCTGTACCAGGTAAGGGCTTATCGAATGTTTAACTCACTGACTATTGTTCCCGTCACAGGTACGGGGCGGGCGGGCGGTTCGCTGGCATGGGTCCTGTACCTCCGACGGGATGGACTTTGCACTTTTGTTCCGAAACTTGTGCTCCCGTCTTATGTACGGAAACGGACTCCAGTGCTAGTTTTACTACTTGTTTCGTTTTGTGCTAAGTTTGGCGGATGTTGTGTGGTAACTTTTTAAGAAATTGAAGGTGAAGGACAGTCACCCCAACTGGGGTTGAACTGACTGGAACTAGCGCTATGTTTTTTCTATACAGTTGATAGCAACTTGAGAGTCCCATTGAGGTAATGGTCGAAGAAGTCGCATGAACAAGAATCACAGTATTTCGCTGTTTTCGATACTTCTGTTCATTAAACTTGCTTTAGTGACTCAGAATATGATGTGTTTGATAGTTAGGACCCTGGATATGTACCCGAACACCCTTCGAGTCGTAGTTTTAGGGCTAGATCGAGCACTTGTACTGGTGCTGTTCACGAAATGAAATCACAACTTTGTGCCCTACCTTTGTCTCATGTACCGTAGTCTCCGCCTAACCACACTCCAGACATCACCAACAAAAATCTATTCCATATATTAAAAATTCAACAGAAATTTTTAGTATTATATCTTCTCTTCATTCTGTGAAAATTTCATGAAGTTTGGATGAAAAATGGTGGATTATTTTAAAAAAGTATAGAGAAAAGTCGCGTTTTGAGAAAACAGCCGCTAAAGAAAAATAAAATACTGACTTTATGAGGAAATGGCGGTGACAAACATGCCCGGTTTGGGAAAAAATAAGGTTTTTGGGGGTTCTTATGCAATGAAATAGTTGTAGGAGAGGCTGAGGAAGCTAAAAATTCCTACAACTCAAATTCCATCATTTTGAGCCGAATTTTGACTTTGGGGGTGTAGCAAGCCCCACCCCACTCACTGACTACTGGCCCCTTTCTTCACTAGTCACTTGCGCTGAATACTGGCGTTTTTGGGAGTATTTCAAAACACCACCAAAACTCTCAGAATTACCCTATTGTAATTATTTTTTGACACAATAAAGTTACATTCAAGCTTAATGTAATACAAAAAATTTAAGTTGTGTAAGTCTAATACTTAAAGTTTCATGATTTAAAAAAAAATTGGCATGAATTTGATTTTCTGAAAAATTTCCAGAGACGTGCCAAATAGAATGAAATTCACAACAACAAAAAGTTCAGTGTTCTGCTTTGATTTTTATGCATGTGTGAGTGTTTGGTGAAAATATAAAAGCTGGGATGTGCGTCGATTCAGAACCACACTCTGAATTACTACAGTTGTCTCCGCCTTAACACATGCCATACAAAAGCCCCACTCCCTCTAAACGCATGCTCCGATCCGCGAAACACACCGCACGGCGCACCGACAGTGGAATTTTAGTTGCCGCGGGGGGTTCCCCGCCGGGCCCCTTATCACGTCACAGTCAAGGGGGTCAGCTCCCTGTCGCCGCTCTGTCTGGGCCGACTTAAATTTTGGTATTTTTTAACGTACAATTTTAGCTGTATCCTTGTATTTATGGTAATTCTCATTTAGTGCACCCAAAGCAAGCATTTCTGCTCTTGAGGCTAATAAAAGAACGGACTTTGTAACTTGTCTTGTTATTTCGTTAGACGCGCTGGAGTCAGCAATGCTAAATTGTTGGGTTTTTTTGACTAGCGGGACTGAAAAAAAAATCAATATAAAAAATAGGCCTCGTCAAAATCTGTCGAACTTTTGGAACATGAACGACATAGCATTGGTGCAGATACTCTGAAAAGATGGTATCTGCGTATATAATAGAAAGCTGTAATTTTGCAACTTTATCCATCGGGCACACAATTCGCTATGAAGTAATTCCTCCAAATACAACTTTATGTGTCTAATATAATCGTGAATATTCACCTATTTTCTCGAAAGTTTCTAAAAGTTACCATGAAGTTTCCCTATGAAAAGTACAAATCGATTTTAGTACCAGAATACATCTTCAATGTAATACACGAACAGTATCTGTTACACTCACGAAATTCCTTACTTTTCTTAAAACGCTAAGTCTAGGTTTTGTAGGTTGGCTGAATAATAGGGATGACTTCTCGAAATCCTAATATCAGCTGCTGGAAAGCTCTGAAGTCTTGTTTAAAGAATACTTTATGCAAACAAAAGCGTACCCTTTATTCTTTGGTCATTTAATTCTGACTTTAGCTGATTGAATTTAATTTCTCATGGTATTTGTGTACACATTTCATTTCCTTTAGAATATATATGGCATTTCCCCACCAGTTTGGCAATTTTTGTTTTTTGGGCTCAGCACCTTGTACATCTATTTGAGAACACATTTCTTTGTAGATATCACTGGAAGACGTTTTGTGTAGATAATACTGAAAAACGTTTATTATAGGCATAAAAAAATATAAATTTTCAGTTTCCAAGGACTCTTAAGCTGTGGAAATCACGAAACTTTGGCAGCCATTTTCTCGCTAATTGTATCTTTAAAACGAGGTGACTCCATCTCCTTCAATCACAAAATATCTTGATTTCTATTCAAGATAGGTGGATATTTTTTCACCGAAAGCAAGACAAACGAACAACAGCTTTAAAATGATATCTATAACTCCACATGCTCGAAAATTGACGAGCACCTGATTCCCCTGCTTCGGGACACATACATATTAAATTTGTATAACTGAAAGATACACATTGGAAAATTCATACATAACAAAAAGATCCCAGCGTCCGAATTGATTTCGTTATGTGCATACTAGACTATCTAGCCTGTAGTTGGGTGAACTAGCTTTTTCATTTGTGGTTTCTCAAAAATATTTTGCATTCCAAGTTTTTTTAACAAGATTCTTGTGTTCTTTCAGGACTTTGACACAGAGTCCCTGCAGCATCTCCTGGGCCAGATCAGCAGATCATCACGCTGTCTTTTAGACGAGAACAAAGACCCACTGGGCTACGAAGTGGTGTAACTCTCAGGTTGAAAAAGAGCTTTGTCCGTGTTGTTAGTACAATAGAACTCATTTACAACTGTATTCACAGAGCCAGGGCCTTAGTGCTAGTGCCATTATGTAATGGATGTGATTCTAACCAGTGTAGAAGAGAAGTAATAGAAATGTTTATGTGCTTGCCATTGTCCAGCACTGATGATAGGAATATAAAATTTGGTTACACTCATTAATGAAAGTAAAGTCCTACTATTTTGTAGAGCAAGGGAGGTTTTGGCAGATGCAAGCAATTGTGTGGTGAAAATAGATTTCCTCAGTGAACAATGAAAACAGGGAGAAGGTTTCTTTTCACATCTGACATGCTGTGCTATTAATAGCAGAATCAAATGAACATCAGGCTCTGGTGGCTCTATAGTCTCGACATCCCTCCGTCATTACTGGCTCCTTTTCTCTTTTGTCTTCTTCAGTTGAGAGACCCAGCTTGGTTCTTGAAAGGCCAAAATGCTCACCTTATTTAAATAAATTTGTCTCTTCTGTGCTTTGACTATGTCTCAAAGGCAGAGGATCAGACTTTCAAGCTGTCTGCTTTTTTTTCTCTTCTCGCTACTCTTCTTTCCCATTTTACTTTTGCATTCACCTAGTTAGGTCAAATTGCGATACACGATCTCTAATTGCCCTGAAAAAAAATTGGCTGTGTGGATACTATGTCCAGCATCTCACAGCAGTATTCTCTCTAAACTTGAACTGATCACACTTAAAACAAAGAGGGAATCTCCATTCTAAGAAAGATGAACCACATTGATCGTTGTATCAGTAATGTTTCAGTAAAGTAAAGCAATGGGGGAAATGAAGCTGAGTTTAAGAAATCTTTTTGCTCAAGATTTGAGCGATTCCAAAGCAGTTGTAAATGAGTTCTACTTTACAATGCCTGATGCCATGCCCTTCATCAGACTCATGCTGTACTCATGGTTCAAACTGACATATTAAGAATGACCTCAATGTTCCTTCTCATGTGTTCATAATAATAACATATTTTGTTTAAGTAATTATGTTGTTTCTTGGGGATTGCTATATCACTCTCAAACAATCCCAAGTTCTTGCTTAAGAAAGGTTGACAGACACGTTAAAGTTTGATGTATGAATGGCGAGTTACATGTATTAAATAAAGTTTCAATGATTTGTAAATTTGAGTTCTTTTTTAATATCTTTCCAAAGTTTTGTTGCAACAACTGAACAGATAGAGAATACTATTGTCAGCAAGCTGATAGAATGTCTTAAGCACAGAAAGCAGAATTTTCCTGGAGAGCAAAAAAACAAACGTTTTTCAAGAATTGTATCTCCGCTTTGAAACCAGTTCGTACCAAAAGAAAGATTGAAGCTTTACATATGTGTGTGTGCCTGGTGAAAGGGACCACATGTCGCATTTTGGAAAATCCCGTTTTTTTAGCATTTTCTTGTACAGAATTCATTTCTGAACAATGTGCTTTTTAAATTTTGAAGATATCTTGAGTAGTTTTTGAGATATGGGCGATTTTGTAAGGCAGGGTACGGAAACAAAGTTTTGAGAAAAACGGCTCTAAAGTTTCACCTCTGTTTCTGCAGAAAAAACAAAAACAGAACACCCTTTTTTCATAACAAGTCACCATTCTAGTAAAAAGGTTTTGCTGTTGCTGAAATATAATGTTGTTAAATCATGTTCATAATTATTACTGTTTTGTTTAAAAACTTGATACCCCCCTCCCTCCCCCCTCATCTCCTGCAACACACACAGGCAAAAAAAGTATCTTCACCACAGTAACTAGGGAACTTAACACGATCAATCATCAGGGTCAGAGGAAAACTTTTTGTTCCTTACCCACCTAACAAGATTGCCACATATCCAAATCTTAGAACCCAGACTCTCCCAGGAATAAATGAAATTTTGTTTTGCATACTTTTAGAATTAAGAAAACAAAAATGCACTACTATGAGTAAGCTAGATCTAAACTAAGCTAGATTTAGATCTAGATCTAGGTTTATCAACAAAGAACAGCGTAATGATAATTATTTACTATTAATTATCATTATAATAAATAATTATTAGTTTGCTAAATCTAAATCTGTTTCTATTATCACTGTTGTTTTTGTTGTTGTTAATCTTTACCTGCTTCAAGTGCGGGGTCTGGAACTGGCGATGGCACCACAGATCGAACTCATCTTCTTCCTCTTCTCCCAAATCGACGTCAGAAACGAAATAATCGCATATTACATCTCTAATGTCTTCTTCAGTTGCCATTCTGACATTCCAATGCGTCTAAGAGAATTGAGAAGAGACACAATTTCCTGCTCATGAATAGCAGTACTAGATCTAGATCTAGTACAAGATCTACTACTAATCTAACAGTACCGGTAGTAGTAACAGCTGGCAGCTCCGCCGTGTTGTTGTGCTTCGAGACGACCTGACAACACAGTCACTTCTCACAAACCAACTTTAAAAAGCAACTTTACAATAAAAGAACAGCTTCAAAGTGTTTATATTACGTCTTCAAAACAAATTCACCACCACATTGAACAGGAATTTCAAGAAATACGGTTTGCACAGGGCAGAAATAGGCGATACAAGTTTGCTCTCCAAAGAAACAAAAGGGTGTGGGTGTGCAAAGTTTCGCTTTGTTTACATGTTCTAGATATTCATGCGCACTACCTGCCATTGGAGAGCAGAGAGAATGACCTAAATTTTAGTATGCAATGTGATTGGGTCGACTTTATGAATGGACAAGAGAAACCATCCGCAGTGTTTACCCTGAAAGCCAGTTTCCTCACGCATTTTTTGGGATTATGCACTATACCTTGGGTTAAAAAACACCTTTTAAAATGTATTTTAAAGTTAAAATAACCCAAATCCTTGTAAATATCAATAAATAAATGGCTGAAGAATCCATTTTTAATGGAACTTAGTTTTTGTCAAAAATTCTATTTTTGACTTTGAAGCCTGATATCTCGGTTTGAGAAAATGCGACATGTGGTCCCTTTCACCAGGCACACACACATATTGATTGACATGTGAATCATCTCGTGAAAAGATATTTTGTCAAATGAGATTTGTGGCTAGGTACAGTAGTCCATCGACCTTTTGATGTTGATAAAATGTAGTCAAACCTAGCTGTACCATCTACCTTGGGACTAGCATAAAGTTGGTAGTATAGCAGGGCTGGCAGTATCCACAGGATAGCACCTATTGCCATCTTGACCAGTGGTAGACTGGTAATGACTATAAAGTACCCCGTTATAAAACAAACAAGAATCTAGATCTAGATCAATTGTTTCCGCAAAAAAAGAGCGCTCTAATTTCCGGCGAGAGGGAATGTCGTCAGCTCCCTTCCGTTTAATTTTTTTTAAGCTCGCAATTCTATGTCCGAATGCATAAAAATGCTGCACATTTTTTCAAAATTCTTTTTTTTTTTTTTTTAATTCCGTGCAGCGGGTGATATTCCTCAGCGCTGTTAATTTTTCCGCAACCATGATGTCATATTATATAGACAGTCCAAGACACCCATTTGTCTAATGTCTAGGACGGCCATTTTCCCCTTGACAATGTGTGGGGCCGTTCTGAATAATTGAAATTGTATACTGTATAGTACAATTTTCTTCAGGCCACAGCACATGATGAGACGACCTGGGTTTTAGTTTTACAGTAATCATTTCAAAAGACTGTTTCTGTCACCATTTTCAAACAAAGAACAGTTGTGTGGAAAAAAAAAATTTGTGACACAGTCCATAACAAACAAGCGGTATTATGACAAAATGTTTTATTACAGTATATGTACAGGGGTCTTTAAAACACAAATCATCTAATCCTTGCACACATGAAGTGAAATAATTACACAAACAGAAGGATCAAATACATGGCGTCGACAAATGAATAATGAATCAACTTCTAAATCAAATTATATAATTCTTTAGAGTGAACAGGTAAAAATGCATTGTATTGTTTTGCTGCCATTTCTGCAAATGTACAACTCGTACATTATAAAACACATACAGAGGTTTGTCCAATTCAGTTGTATAATACTACCAGTATCATGAATATTTTTCAGAACTTCTTCCTCTCCCTTCGCACATTCACTGCATTAGAAGAATAAGAAGGGACTACAGGCTTCTGTTTGATTTCTTTAGGTCAACAAACACTCTTTTTTTATAAAAGTTAAGCCAGTCATGAGATCTCAAAGAAAGTGCTTGGGACTTCGTGTACAGTAAATTCACTTGCTAAATCTACTTAGCATCAGCACAGTCTATCAAAGAAGTTCTTTGGTTGAGTCAAGAAACGTAGGCTACCTTTTCAATTTCAAAGAGTTCAAATTGTGCTGTAACTATGAAAAACATACAACAGTAATAATATGCTTTTCCCTGGACTCCAGAAATCATTTGTGGATCAATTCGTGGATCAGCACCTTGTCACAATTCCAAACCTCTGTATTTTCATTATTTTTTTCATACAAATTACACTGTGTAAATTAACACATACAGTGGAGTCCGCTTAAACCAAACACTGCAGAACTTATTCTTTGGTTTACTCGTGCTTTTGGAATAGAAAAGTTGTTCAAATAGCAATGATATTTGACAGTGTTGAGTTGGGAATACCAGCCTTGCGGTAAGTTTCACTTTTCAAACATTTTTTTCTTTCTCATCTGCCTCGTAGTCATAGTAGGCTAAATACTATTTAAGCTGAAGGCTGTATACCTAGTGCTTTCTCTCTGACATTGTCAGCTTGCTTTATCTGCTGAAGTCTCAAAGAAAACATGAAAGAGTATTATATCAGTACGTTGTACTGTGCTCCGCAAAGGCAAGAGAAAAGGGAAAGCAAAATGCCTGCAACACCATGAAACACACCACATGCCGTCACATGTTCCTGTGAAGGGCCTGTGTGAATTAACTTCACGGAGAGAATAGGCTATACTTTAACCAACCAAATGTCGTGTGACAGATGCATGTATATACTCATTTTCCTAGCTTCACTAGGCCTATACACAATGTGTAGGCTCATTGGTGTGTGTAATAAAAGTAGGCAAATAGTACGCTGGCGATGCTTCTCTCAGGTTCGCAATCAACACACATGTGTTCTCATGTCTCTTTCTTCTGTTTCGCCATCTTGAAGCCCATAAGACTTGTTAATTTGTTTTATTTGCGGGTTACTAGTGAAGATTCGACTTAACCTTAAAATTCTTTTTGGGTTAGAAATGGAAGCATTTTGGCTTTCAAAAGAAGAAAAACAAAAATGGGAAATTTTTTTCCCCCCCAGTTCACTGCTGTTTTCGGATCGACTGTACTTGGTTTAAGTAGACTCCAGCGTACATGTGCAATCACAAACACATAAATGAGGGTTTGAGAGAACATGAATACAAATTTGTATGACTCAACAATTAATCAGTCAGGAAACATTTTTAGAATTGAGATGATACATATATGTACAATAAAACCGACAAATAGGCCTACAGCCACTTGACTTGATGGTTATGGAGGGTACACTGACTACAAGAAATGAAAATTGTACAATGACAGATGAGGGTCATGACATTGTTTTTTTTTTCAATTAGTGACTGGTCCCAAAATCTCTAAATCTGTAAAAGATTATTTAGCAGAAGATAGAAATTAGATGACCATCTCTACTACTTCAATCGCCAAAGTGTCCAAATCTTTGAAAGCTTGAAAGGAGACGAAAATAAAACATTTCCTCCTTTCTACTCTACTTCGGTCGTCAAAAGAAATTTAAGAATAACTTCAGGGCACTGATCATGCTTCTATTTCTTTGTTAAAAAATCATCCACATTATACTGGCATAGAATCTCCTGTTGAACCCTGTAATGCCAGTGTGAAAAAGCGGAACAAACTGGAACACATCCTCCAGTAGTGCAGGACACACAGAGCACTCATACAGGAAACGCAGCCAACACCAGCAAAAACTACAGGAGAAATTATGCAGGCCAATAGACAAACTGAGAAGGATGGCCCAATATATGATAGATACCGGACTTCAAGGGTGACACAATCGAGAAGAAGGAATCGAACTCGCATCTTCCATGACAAAGAGCCAAACTGTTAAACTTTAACCACAGAGGCCGGTAGTCACAAGTGAACAATGTGCCGACAATTTCAGAAGCAAAACATTTTCTATTCATCTGCGCCAAATTACTGAGAGCACCAATTTCTTTATATGAAACTACTTTTTTTTTTTTTAAAGATAAAACTGTTAACTGAGGATCAAGTTTCCATTATTCATGAGGAAGATGAGGGATCATATAATTAGGTAGGCTCATAACTTTGTTAACTTTTGTTATAGCACTGTATGTTACAGCAGTCAGGACAATCATTTACAACTCGCTGGCTAGTCATGTTGCCCAAGGAAAAGCCAGACACCACCCAATAACACTAACCTTCAAGATTCTTCTAACTTTTTCACATTTGTTAAAAAGCCTTACACTACGTACATTTTGAATTACACACAGACAGTGAGTAGTCAAATTTCTAATTTTGTAACATCGGTGTTCTAGTGGTTAGGCTCGTGTTCTTGAAAAAGGCACTTTATATGACTTGTCCTCATTTCTCACGTGTGGGAATGGACACCAACCTATAAACAGTAAAAGATCTTGTCAGTATCATTCTCAATATTTGTGAGTTAAAACAAGTGTCTGCTTGCACTGAATTCTTCCCAGAGAGCCGAGAAAGCAGAAAATATCTGTGAATGTGCCAAGGCCTGCTGGGTTAATGCGGTAAAAGTTCCAAAGCGTATAGAGCTGTAGAGCCTGGATATGCACTATATAAACTAAACTATAGTTTTCTCTTACATTTTACAGTATACACACACACACAGTCACCGTGGAGGTGTCCATCCGTTGGTGCTCCACTCCTTACCACAGCAGGCTTCCATCTTTCCCTGTCCTTGCTTTGATGAATTACTGTACTTCATAAACAAACAATAAACAGTCCGATTTCACAACCTACATTTTCACAGTACACAAGGCCAGTAAGGAGTCTATTTCACGACTTACATTTTATGAAAACTCAGCAAGTACGTAGTGTAATTTCATCTTTAACATTTTACTTCATATTCTTATTACACTAATTACATTTTACAGTACACATAGCATATTAATCAACGGTCAAAGTACAGTAGAACCTGCCTTAGCGTTTACCTCTACATAGCAGTCACCTGTGCCAATGGCAACTGTTACTTGACACCCTTGAGTTTTTCTTATTTTTAAATCTATCCCATGCGGCCACGTTAACCTATTTTCACCACAAGTCGGCCCCAAAACTTGCTCATAGTGGTCACTGGCAACGCGTTTTCCGCCAACCTGTACTTTGAGTGTGTACATTCAAATCAATGAAAAGAAACTCTTATGATAGATATCAATTTTAAGGGAAATAAAACTGAAAAATCATAAAATTGAGATTTCAGATTTTAAACCATCTGCCGACTTGGTCAACTCTAGACTACTAAGTGACCATAACTCAGACCCTGCCCATCACAGCCACCGGTCTACAAGGGTCCTTTTTCTCTGTGAAATTCAGTGACAATTATGGTTAGTTTCGACTGCACACGATCCATAACTTACATTGCAGTACACAAAGACAGTGCACACTACTTGTTTTAGTTTTTGTAGAGGTTTTACGGCGCTCGCAACTGCAAAAGGTCATATGGGCGCCAAGGGGTGGAAGTCAACAAAGAAGTCCTTGTAGGGAATCGGGCTTACTCCGCTTACCTCTCTAGCTTCAACAGCACAAAGTCTGCTTCGACTATCAAGGCACCCCGGAAATAGCGGGTCACAAGAGTATGACAAACATACAAAAGAAGTAGAGGAAAATGACGATAGCAAGGATTAGGAGAGAAAAAGCGGCAGTTCCCTGTTGTAGTTCAGGCACAGTTATGAGCATGACATTGATGAATCAGCCCATTTACAATTCTACTGTGCATAAGAGCATATTAACCTTTTGCCACTCGGAGGCGCCGATGTGCGCCATCATCGCTAACCCCCGTAGTCGCCGATGTGCGCCGACACGCCCACTCGATTCACCCGTTTGCACTACTTTCGTTTCTACGTTGTCTCGCTTTCTGCGAGGTCGCACGAGATTGCCGAGCTTATAGCGAGAATCTAGAGTGGTTGCCCTTTACTGTCGTGTTTATTTGGTGAAAATCGATCGAAGCACGCGAGAGCGGCGATTTTTTAAATTTCGTGCTTTTTAGAGACCTAAATCTAACTTCGTGGATGAAATTTTGCGTCGCTACAGGCACTGTATACGATGGAGACACTTATAATTGGGATTTAAATGCCGATATCGTCGACCAAGGGGCTAGATCTAGTGCTAGTAGTACAAGTAGTCACTCGGACACTCAGTCGAGAAAGAGAGAGAGAGCGAGAACTATAGTAGGAGAGCGAACACGATGTCGCAGGTCTAGATCTAGGCTCTAGGGGGAGGGGAACAACTATGATAGTGATGTTGATGGTGAGATCGTAGCTGGAGGTGATGATTTAGAAGACTGATGAAGAAGATAGGCCTAGCACCCACAGCACTTTAGCTAGATCTAGTACTACAAGCTGCACTATGAGGTAAAAAAGGGAGGAGCAACACTGGGACTGTGTGCTCAGTCACAACAAATCCTTTAGAGCATGTTGTGATCAGGATACATGGTAAAAAGGGGTCGTGCCACTACTGTGTAAAGACCAGAAACTTTACAAAGCTAGGCAGAGGGAGTGAGACAGTGACAGGATGCAATTTGGGCCAGGTTAGGCCTTGCAAAAGGCTGTTCTGGGTAAAACATTATGAACTTCTGCGGGCAAAAAAAGCGGGTTGTGTCTTTTGGGGGTTTTTTTTTTTCACTTCAGAATTTTTTTTTACCTAATACACAATGATTTTTCGTACAAAACCATACATTTTCTTGTAGTTTATTCATTTATCTGTGCTCTGACACCTAAACTGTAATTTTAGACTCATCCTCTGATTTTTAATGATTTTTAAAAATAATATAGTCATGCAGTCTAAGCGGAGTTAGGTCCCTTTTGCCAGAATTTCAGCCTTGTTGGGCAGGGATAGCTCTGAGGGTGAAAGGGTTAATGTCCCCCCTTTGGGAATGGCCTAAAGACGCTTCAGTCAGTAGTACCGCCCCAGAGGGTAACACTACTTCTTACAGCTTACAGTAAACAAAGACAGTGTACAGTACTCCTTCCAGCTTACAGTACGCACAGAAAGCAAATAGTCTGAACTTATGCTTTTCCACACAAGGCTGGAACATTTGAGCATATAACGAGTGAGTAAAGTCGCCACTGGCACCAGACTGAGACTGTAGTACGTAATGTAAAAAGAAACAAAAATATCATCCTGATTGAGTTGAATCACGAAGGAAAACCATGAAGAACGCAGTGGAGAAAGGTGGAGGCAGACACCAAGAAACTGGGTAAAACTTGGGACACAACTGGAGAAGGATTCACGGCACAGAGAGGAATTGTTCAAGGCTCACACACCTTAGCGAGCCAACTCACTTTACTTGAAACCTCGTCACAGTTTTGGTAACCACTTCCTTTCCTTCTCTCTTAAACGTCACCTTCAAATATGTCACATCCATACAGTGAACATTATGCAGCAGACAAGTCACTCATTCCACTCTCTAGGGCTTAAAATGTTGTAACATTAATGCATTCTCTTCCTTGGCAGCTTGCAGGTTCTGCTGATCGACGTTTTTCATTTCTTGGCCTACGAAGATTCCCCCAGAGCCACGAGCTCGATTCAGTGCATGTCGATGTCTGGATTCATACAAGTATTTCTGCAGAATAAATTGTGAAAATAATAAAATGAAGAGGAACATCATCTATGTATATTTATTTTTATGGGACAAATACTCAGTAAATGAAAATTAGCAAGACAAAACAACCACGACACCCCCCCCCCCCCCCCGGTTACTATACTGCGAACTGGGACGAGTACCATAACTTGCAAGATGCAAAATGACCTTAAATAACATATGAATCTGTTCGACAATATCATTTGCAGTCTGTGAACAATCAAATTTTTTCATCTCATCTGCACTGGCATAATGCCCCAAATGCATTGTGATTAGTAAAAAAAAAAACAGAGAAGAAAAGTAACAATAAATCTTTTGAATTCAAAGTAGAACAAAAAAACAAGACTCCTTAACAGAGACATGAAAGTAGACAAAAATTGCACAACTCTCATGGCTTTAAGCAAGTGTAAGTCTTTCCAATATTTCTGTCAGTACTAATATATTTCAACCCTTTTCCCCTCCAGTGGACAGCTACCAGAGAAAATTATTTTAACACTTTCCACCCACGCAGCGCACAGAGCACAAACCTTTGTCCCCATTGACCAAGATCCATATGGGGCACATCAGTACCATACCTGTATCTCGGCAAAAATAACCCAATCATTATGTAATTTTCAGCACATTGAAAAAATTGAAGCTGATGAACGCATGTTCACAAAAAAACCGGAATAAGAATCAAAATTGAAAACATTAGTAGATCTAGCATATATTCATAACCCCCCCTTCCCCATTCTCATCATGGCATCAGTGTAAAGTAGTGCTCATGCCAGGTCTACTAGTACTAGTTGCCTTTTAAAAAAAATTTCTCCAATTGATATAAACGAACTGATTTTCACTATCAAAGGCCACACAAATCATTCAGAAAGAAATTATAACTTTAATAAAAGCACATGTCTAATGGGAGATTATTGCTACAACATTTTTGTTGCTACATCACACCGTCACTGATCGGTGTCCCATGGGGGAAAGGGACGGCTTCTTACCATCGCCCAGAAAAATATAAAAATGAACAATTCATTGTTTTCAGAAACAACACAGCCAGTTACCTGTCTTTCTTTTGGAATTTTCCCTTCCAACTCCAGTTTGGCTCGCGCTTGCCTTCGTTTCAGAATCCTGTGGTATTGTTTAGCATTCACATACAGAGGTTCATCTCCTGTATCTCCACTCGGCTGCTGAAGGAACCAAGGAGGTAAAAATGATTCCATGCAGACAAAATTCAAATCTACACTAAGAGGCATGAGAAAAGTTAGTGGTGACAAACCTCCAGTCTTTCTTTTCCTTACAAACCCTATTTTTTCTTGGTTTAAGCCAACCTTGACAGACAGTAGATTACTTCACAACCAGTTTGTCAGTTACTATACCTTCTCTAAAACTACATCCCCCCCCCCCCCCCCCTTCCACCTCCTTCTATTGTCCCATTATAATTTAATTTGCGCAGTAAGGGATTTTCTTGGATATCTTTCATTTGTAACCATTCTAGGGGTCATATGTTCCACAGCCAAAAATGTGTATGTTTAGCCCCTATAAGTACAGCATTTGCATGCAGAAATGACAGTAAAAATTACCAAACTAATTGAAGCCCCTCCCCCCCCCTTCAGGGCAGTGCTACTGACTGAAGTGTCTTTAGGCCATTCCCAAAGGGGAGGACATTAACCTGTCCTTATGCACAGTAGAATTGTAAATGGACTGATTCATCAATGTCATGCTCATAACTGTGCCTGAACTGCATCAGGCAACTGCTGCTTTTTCTTTCCTAATCCTTACTACCATCATTTTTGCTCTACTTCTTTTGTATGTTTGTCACACTCTTGTAACCCGCTATTTCTGGGGTGCTTTGATAGTCGAAGCAGACTTTGTGCTGTTGAAGCTAGAGAGGGGAGCAGAGTAAGTCTGATTCCCCCTGTAAGGACTTCTCAGTTGACATCCACCCCTTTGTGCTTATATGACCTTATGAGGTTGCGAGTGCTATAAAACTACTAAAAAAACAACAACAAACTTATTGAAGCAGAGTCTTTGCCAAAAAGTAGGTGATGTTTTAATGGGGATTTAAAATGGCTACTACTCAGACTCATTGAAACAAATTTTTAAACAGAAACATAATGATGAATTACTCAAGATACTTTCATAAAGTTGAAATTGGAACTCATTTGTCACATCCTGGTATTCCATCTTTTGACAAAGGCTCTTTTAAGGGGTCTAGCTACCAAGAAAAGCTATCTTTGTTATTTATGCATCTTTTGAAACCAAACCTTACCAAAATATCTGGCCCGTCCCAGAAATGAATCAAAATGTTTAAAAACATCTTAACCCAAAATGTATGTAACACCGGCGGCCATATTTAAATCATACAATGCTTAGGAAAATCTTAAAATTTTGAAAAACCAAAAAGGCGTAATATTAATTTTTTAATAAATAGGCCTATCGAATTAATAATAATAGTTATAGGTACCTGGCTGGGTTTTTTTTTATATGGTATGCTTCCAATATTTTGGAATTTCTGGGGGTTTCAAAGTAATGTTGTCCCTTTTTTGTACCAATTTTAAATGCAAAATCAATTTCAGGTGCAGATTTCTGAAATATTTTAAAGTACATTTTCTCAAATATAGCTAGTCAGATTCCTGTAACTACCAAATCTGCACATACTTGGAAAGTTTCAATACATTATCCAGATGAGTAGCTGAGATTTTAAGATTTTAGTTTTGACAAAAACACATATTTTAAAATGTCACTGTGTAATTTGAGGATTTGTTCCTTCTATAGGTTCCAGTACCATATTATTTCTAATCGTATGTAAAATATAATTTCTGTACAGTTACAAATAACCTCATTTATATATAGAAGTTTAGTGAACCAAGTAGACACAAAATGTAACCAAAAAAGAGAGAAGAAAGGTGA